CGGCGGCGACGACAACAACGACGACGAGAGGGGAGTCAAGGGCGGTCTTCGATTGGGGGTCGGTGGTATTCCTGGAAAGAAGTCGGCTTGCCAGGCGCGATGCGCGCTGCTGGCGGCGGGGTGGCAGAGGCGGGAGGGCGGGATGTGATAAGGCAGAGTCGGTGCCCTTTTTTTTGTGATTCAATTGAAGGAATCGTTGTATCCGTAGTGAGGTTTTGGTTGGTGTGGAGGTTGTGACGGTTAAGGAGGAGGTGAGGAAGCGTCGAAAGTGAAAACTTGGTGGGTGGACGGGGGACCAAGGGGACTTAGCACCCGGAGAGAAGCGAGGCCGTGGCAGTCGGGGGCCAGGCACGGTTCAGCGCACTGTACGCAGCTTGCTGGCCAAGGTTGCATGTCGTGTCGTTATGCATCCAATGGGGAGCTGCGAAATCGCCAAAGGGGTGGCTGGCCCAAGCTCCCACCAGCAGGCCTTGTTGCATTACCCGGTGCATAACTGTACTGCTGCTGTTTCAAATGCCGTCTTCACCCGCCAAACCTGGTGCTGCTGCTAGGTGTATTTCGGTCGCATTGGTGACCGAAATGCCAGCCAATTTGCAGCAATCGGGCCGCCATCAAATCTTTACTAACTCGATGACACCCAGGACTTGACTCGGCTGCAAGCATGCGAGGCAAACAAAAATTTGCGATAAGCCAAGTCATCTATCTTTGTGTGCTTGCTATTACTCTCATTGTCTGCCAGCCCGCAATGCTTTCTATTCAAAGGACAATCGTCATTTCTCCTCACCCGCATATTTCATGCTCATCGCAGCTCATTGTGTCGCATCCATTAATGCAAATCCCAACACCCCTCCAAATGCCGACCCCAAAAAAAAAAAAATCAGACCAAACCGTCAAACATCCCCCGGGAACGCAACGCATAGGCCTCTCTTCTCTCACACAGACATCTTCATGGCAATCGTCTTATGCGGGTCGTAGCCCTTGACCACAAAGTCCTCCACCTTCCACCCATCAATGCTGCAACCCGCCTCCCTGTTGTTGATCTCCAGCATCGGGAAGTCCCGCGGCTCCCGCTCCAGCTGCACCTTGAGCGCGTCCACGTGGTCCGCGTAAACGTGCGCGTCGCCCATGACGTGCGTGAGGCTGCCAGGAACCAGATCGCACGCGCGCGCAATCATGTGTGTCAGCAGCGCGTAGCTCGCAATGTTGAACGGCACGCCGAGCCCCATATCGCAAGAGCGCTGGTACAGCTGGCAGTGCAGGTGTCCCTTGGGCTTCTCGTCCGTCGACGGCGCCGCGCCGCGTGCCCGAGGGTACGAGACGTAGAACTGGGCAAACATGTGGCACGGCGGCAGGGCCATCTTCTTCAGGTCCGCAGGGTTCCACGCGCTGAGCAGGATGCGGCGGTCGTAGGGGTTCGTCTTGAGCTTGTGGATGACCTCGGCGAGCTGGTCGACGCCCTGGCCTGTGTAGTCCGTCTTTGCGTCGACGTATTCCGCGCCAAAGTGTCGCCATTGGAAGCCATACACGGGGCCGAGATCGCCGACTTCGCGGTGGGAGAGGCCGACGCTGTCGAGGAACTCGCGGGAGCCGTTGCCGTCCCAGATCTTGACGCCGGCCTCACTGAGGGCTAGGGACGACGTATTGCCCTCGACGAACCAGAGGAGCTCGGCAATGACGGCGCGGAGGAAGACGCGTTTTGTGGTTAGGAGGGGCAGGAGGGGCTCGCTGTCCTTGTTGAGGGAGAACTTGAGCGGCGTCGGGGCGAAGATGGAGTAGGTTCCGGTGCCGGTTCTGGGTTTCTCGTCAGTGATAGTGCATTGCTGGTGGTTATGCGATGGCTTCAGACCTGTCTGGTCGGTGCTCCCCCGTCTCGAGGATCTCGCGGACGAGGTCGAGATACTGGTACTCCTCGTGGCGCTTGGCCGGGCTGCCGCCGTTCTGCTTTGTTGGGTTCTCGGGGGCGGACATGTTGGCGGATTCGACTGCAGTAGGAGCCATTGTGATGTGTGTTCGTCTCTTACTGAACCTGGGAGATGGTGGTGGGATACGTCGGGTCGCTCTGAGTGGAATGCTCAATCCAAAGACGCGTCCAGACGCGTCGAAAGTTTAAGTGCTTGCGCTAGTGGTGGGGGTTGATGACTCAGCTTGGCCTCCGATAAGATAAGAAACGCCACAAGGTTCTGGCCTGCACCGGAACCAAGCGAGGCAAGTGGCGTCTCTCATGCGCTGGAGCTTGTTCCGTCTCTGCTGAAGTCCCGGCGAATAGCGGCTCAAGAAGACTCAGCCCAGAGCTGAGCTTTGTTTCAACGCATCTCATGAATGAGATATCGTCGGATCTTTTTTCAATTCGGTCCCTTTTCTCCTGTGCTCAGACGTAGGCCTCTGGTTCCACATTGATGACATGGTGGCGATGCGTCCTCAATGTCTTCTTCTGTCTCCTCCCCCTCATGCACTTAGTTTCTTAAGCATTCCATTTGGGTGATGCTTCATATTCGGAAACATGAAGTTGCTCAATTCCTCTGGATGACACCAAATCTTGGATTGAAAGCTGTCGTTTTTACATTCAACTCAAGAGCCGGTCTCTGAGGCGCGAGTGCGCGTTTCTCGGTTCTCACTGCCAACGTCATCGATCCCGGGGGCCTCGTCGACTTTGTTTCTTGTCTTTTCCACCCTCTCTTTCTACCATTCATGCTGCCATGTCTTCTTGTTATTCAACATTACGTCTCTAAGAAGCTCTAAGAAGCAAAACTCCTATTCTTTCTTCAACCACACAGAGACATGAGATCTGCCCAACCCACAGCTCCAGTTGACGATGAACATCACAATCACCGTCCCCGCGGGAACCGTCAACCACGGTGACCCCCGCCTCCTCTGCAATCCCCCAATCTGGAGCGATTTCATCATCTTCTATGCAACGAATTACTTTGTCCACGCCCTCACCCTCCCCAGCCGGCCCGGAGAATCCGTCCTCGAGACCTGCTTCACCGTCATCACGGCCCTCTTCCTCCCGAGCACCGGTTCCCTGCGCGCCGCCCGCTGGCTGCTCTCCCACGCCGGGACCGTCAGACGCGATGAACTCAGCCGGGCCACGCGGGCGGGCGCTCTTTGCATGGTCGTCGACGAAACAGAACGCTCCAAAGTCTCCTGGATTGAGCGGTCGTTGAGGAGGATGAGATTCAATAGGGCTTCCCGAAGCTGGTTAGTATGAACCATAAGAGAAAACAGAAGGGGAAACCCGCATAAAACTCAAAAAAAGAATTCAAGTTCTCTTGCATCTAACTTTACAATGCATAGGTACGATACCGATACTTCCGCGCCGCCCTGGTATCGGTCTCGCTTCCGCGGGGCTGGTCGTTGGGTTCACTCTTCCCGCACCATCCACGGGACCTGCGTGCTGCCCAAGGGTTTCATTCTGGTCGAGGTGCCTGTTGGAACGCCGCTGAAGCCGTCGCCGGATTCGACGGCCAACCACCTCGACCGTTCAAATATTCAGCTAGGCAGTACTTACAACATCCCCAAGGCCCTCTTCGCCCTGGGACAAGCGATATGGGGCATCACGACGGTATACCGGACTCGCGGTGATCAGCTGCAGAGGTATGGCTACGCTGCCTTTGGTGTCACTGTGGCGCCCTACGCCTTCATGTCTCTGGTCAACCTGACAGCCCTGCTCCTCACCCCCGAGTACAACTGTATCTACTTGGTACACACGCCGGACCTCGACAGGGCAAGGAGACAGGGCGGCAGGTTCTCTGGCCTTGTAGCCAGCGTCGACCTTGACAGTATTAAGGAGCCCCTGAGGACATTTTGGCCGTCCCAAGCAGCCCACGCCTCGTATTTCGCCGTGACGACAGTTCTCTTACTGGCGCCGCTCGTCATCGTCGCCGCGCTCACCGGCTTCGACCCGGGCCACAGCACGATATACCAAAGAGTTTGGGTCCTCTCCTGGCTGGGATTTGGCATCGTCATGGGGCCCCTGATCAGACTCAGCACGATATTCCCATCCGAGATACACGGCGTATACAAGATTGGCGCGAACGACGCGATAGCGTATGCACTCGAGAACGCGACATTCATGGAGCGAGCGATAGACTGGTTGGTGACCAAGTACTTTTGGGTGGTAGAGACGTCGTTCTATTTGTACGTGGTCATTGGCGCCGGCATTCTCTTCACCCCAGCCATCGGTGGCATGGTTGTCGTCGGGCATATGCTGGAGGAATTTGGCTTCTGTAGACGTCTTGATCGTTGAAAGACCAGATCGCCTCATTGCATCAAACTCAAACTTATTTGTAGATATGGCCATAGACGTTTCATAATGTCAAATTTGGTAACCCTCTTTGTCTGTTCTCAGTCATAAGCAGTTGTTCTTACTTAGACAATGTCTAACTTGGAAGTAAGATATTTGCCATGTGGGCAGACCAGGGCATCAAGGATGACAGGAACAGCAAGGACGACGGGGATAGCAAGGACGAAAGAGACAAGCAAGGACGTTAGGGACATGTGTGGCATTATACTACCCCTACTTAACCAGATTATCCCTTCCGATAGGATGAATCATAAGTAGAGCCTTCGATGAGTCAACTTGGCTACACGCCCACCATCTTCTACACAATCACCAATCACAACATCATGCTTGTCGCCGCTCATCTCAGCATCTCCAAATCTGACCCTCAAGCCTCCCAAGAACCTGGACCGTTCTTCGTCCGTGAATGCTCCCCCACCTGCAGGTACGCCGAAATTGGGATTCCCTCTGGTTAGCGTACTGATGTTCAAGAGCAGTTTTGGTACCCAGACCCCAAAGTCTATCAAAAGACCAGCAATGGCCGCGGTAAACAAAACAACAGATATGATAAGTATCACCATCCACGTGGTGTCATATCGAAGAACCGTGATCGGCGTGAAAATAGTCGCGTTTGTCGAGGTGAAGTTGGTCGCGTGAACCGTGTTGCGATAGCTCAGCATATCGTAGTTTTCCGGATGCCCCAAGACAAGGGGCTCGTTTCCTATGGTGCTAGCCAGTAGGTATTGAGAAGCTGCGCCATTCGAATCTCAAAATTCTCTCTCCCGGCATGGATCGCCCGCGGGAAGTCGAAGACCGCCGTTGCATTGAGCCCCTTCTCCGGATCAACTATGTACGTCTGGATAATCGACGGGCTCTTCTGCCGGTTGGTAGGATCTGTGAGACTTTTGAACAGGTTCTGAAAGTACAAGCTGGCAAGTTCATTGTCGCTCTGGCAGCTGTCGAAGAATGTGAAGTTGGCGCTTGGGTTCCCGGGCGAGACCGACGATCGTATCGCCGTGGGGATGCAGTCGTAGCCGTCGCAGGCGATTTGTGTCTCGACGTACGTAGAGTTGATCTTGCAATTGGCATATGTTGGCTCGTCTTTTGCCGGTGACCAGTCAAAGTAATGAAAGTCGCGCGCCGACGCGGTGGGATCAATGCAGCGTTGACGAGTGCCGTTTGTTCTACCGTCTGGGTACGGCGTTGTCGACAGACCTCCCCAGGAGGTGAGTGTGCTGCAGTTGAACGTTTTCCCATTGATGGGTATTGTGCAGTCCAATCCTCCGTCGACCACAAGTTCACTGGCATGTTCAGTCTCTTTGAAGATGGGACAGTCCATCTTGAGATACGAAGTTTCCAGGTTGAAGATGGTCCTGCCTGTTCGCGAGATATTGCCGAAGGGAATGCCGATGAGTGATGACCAGGTTATCGAGGCCCTGTCTTCATCGTTCAAGGTGATCCACTCGTCTGCCTTCGTGCTATGACGACCAAGCAAGGGCTCAATCATGGGGATCTTGACATTGCCAGAGGTGTCTTGGCTGGACTGTATGACCTCCCCAGACGCCCCAAGAGCGCTGTAGACGAGAGAATTGATCGGGAGCTGCGCATTTCCTATGTTGCTGCCAATGTATTGCGCTGGGAACGAAGTGTTGACATCCAGATACGGGAGCTCGGCAAAAGAGACGACGGCTTCGGGCTTCTTGAGTAAAACTCGAAGAGCGGCCTGGCCTCCCAAAGGTGAAAACGCCCAGATGAGCACCAACACGACGCTTGACCATCTGACCCTCTTCATGTCAATCATTGTCGTCACGGTCCCAGTCATTGTCGTAGAACCAAGAAGACTGTCCAAGAAACCAACACGCTCCCCTCGCTGCAGCCTCCAGTGAGCGAAGCTTCTGATGGTCCGGCCTAGAACGAAGGCGAACATCAATGGTACAATAGTGGGAGCCTATCTATATTAGCCCGATGCAATGTGGTATGAAGACACTTAGATGGTCCTTACAAGTTGGTTGAATTCGAGTGTGAACCGCCACATGGCCGGCGAGTCTTGGATTTCGAGGCCGTTAAAACGGAAGAGAAGACCAACGTAAACCGCGACAACGACAGCCATTAGAATCGAAACACTGTTCATAAACATCTCCAAGTGTCGGGACGTTCCGTTTTCAAGCCTTCTTGGTGGCCATTGTAGCAATTTCGACCCGTTGTCGGATTTGGAGGTTTCCCGGGTGGCCATCTCGGGTTTTGTTGGTACATTCTGGTCCCTTTGAGGAGACGCCATCATCGTTGAAGGGTAATAGCAATTGGGGCTTTCAGCATAGAGACTGGATCAGAATTGATTAGCTTTAAATCCAAGCTTGTTCAGAGGGAAACCATTGCACATATATGGCAATTGTAACCCCCATCACAATGCCTGCATACACGCTGCAGAACGACCTCTTGGCAGACCCCATGTTGCTGTACAGCAGAATCTCCCCAAAAAGGCAAGGGATGATTGACCACTGGCGATACAGCTGAGCTTGACAGTGCCATTCGAACCAACAGGAACTGTGTGGTAGATCGTCAAGTTTTGTGGACTCATGGCAGCACCCGCTCATCGTTTAATCAGGCAACTCAAACTGTAAATGATTTGATTGGGCGGCGTGACTTTGCTGCGCCGCATGCGCCTTCTTAGTCTGTTTGGGAGAGGCATGGGGGCAGAGTAATCGATTGCTTGGATGCAGGCGAATGCTCCCAACTTCTCGGATAGGTGAGCACGAAAGAATTGAAAGGGACGACAGGCACAGAGTCGTGCGCTCTATGTTGGACATGAATATCTTGCTACCCTACAAGAGTTCTGGAGACGCATTTCTCTGAGTGGTAGAGAACTGAAGTCGCCATAGTCTTTGATCTGCACAGAGGAACATCGTGTTATCTGGCCCTCGACAGAAACTCTGTACGCCACCTTTTCAAATATAGTCAGATATCTTGCTTAATGCCAATGATCTTTGGAGTATAGTTACTCACCTGCCACCTTGATCAAACCCAGTAATGAGCCACCGTTGTTCCAAATTTCGATGCCGTCACCACACGCTGCCCAGACGTTGCCGTTCTCGCACATGAGATGTATAGGTGAACCTCTCCTAGCCAGAGCAAATAAACGCTTGTTCGCCAGAAAGATTGCGTCCCCTCTTTTCACAATGTCGAATGCGTAGATGCTCCTTGGTCTGTTCCTCATGTTAGCCACATTCACCACAAAATCACCTTAGGCGTGACGCTTACTGCACCAAATCTAGACTCCCATCAGCCTTCACTCCTCCAGCATCCGCAACGTAAAGTGTCGACGATGCCTCATCGATAGCAATACCAGTCGGTCTCACAAAGCCATCCGCCATGGCCCTCACCTCCCTCGCTGTTTGGTCGTACCAGTACACCGAAGGCGGCAGCTGCGGCGGGCTCCTAAAATCCAGCTCGTGCCCGCAACACGGATCCGTAAACCACACGCCGTCGCCCGAGACGGCCGCGCTGTGCGGCGAATTGAAGTCGCGGCCGTAGTACGTCGTGGCCACGGCTTTCGGCGGCTGCCCCGCCGGCATGTGGAACACGCCTCCGGTCCCGGGATGCATCGTTCCCTGGGAGCACCATAGAATCCCGTTGGCTGCAAGACAGCCGTTGGCCGGCATCGGCATCGCGGGCGGGGGCCGGAGCTTGGCCCATTCGGCGGTCAGGGTATCGCCGCGCGGGGAGGCGGTGATTATCACCTTGGACATGAGGATGGTTGGGGGCCTCGAGGGGTCGGTTGCTGCGAGGGGTGCAGAGGTCGTCCAGAGCTCATTGCGGGAGGGGTTGTAGACGCAGCCACGGTGAAAGAACGCATTGCCAGTGCCTTCTGCAGAGGAGAGGAGTAGGGTGTGTGTGGACTTGGAGCCGATGATGGATTCCAGCGCAGAGTCGTATTGGATGATGGAGACGTCAGACTGAAGTTAGTGTTAGCAGGTCGGTCTGTCGATGGTGTTGATTATTCACCTTGCTGGGTTGTGAATAGCCGGGCGGCGCTTGGTTTCGGCGATCTCTGATCTAATGTAAGTAGCGTGAGTAAGATCGTCAGCAGCTGGAACGGATGAGATTGTTAATTTGGCCGAGTCGTGAGCTTACTTCTATTAGCGTTGTCTCGGGTTTGATACCCGTCGTCTTGACTGTTGCCATCGCTGCACCTACTCTGCTTGGTGTTTGCTCTGGTGAAGTTGGCTTTGTGCGGTTGAAGGGAGCGCAAACAGTGTAGACCGGGGTGGGGACGGCCGGGCCTCCATTTAGTTGGCGCCGGCGCCGTGTCGGGATTACACCCGCCACCCCGATAAACTTAACATCGGCTTTGCGGACAGTATATCATTAAGTCCGTGGAAAACAGTCTCATTGAGCATGATTGATACAATTATTAATTGAATGGTATTCCCCCATGGCTTTTGCTCCAGTGAAAGCCAATATCCTTAACTTCGTTCAGTATGGCTACAATCCTTGTCACCGGAGGAAACAGAGGCATTGGCTTTGGGATAGTCCAGGCTATAGCCGAACGGCTTCCAGATTCTCTTGTGATCATCGGGTGCCGTTCAACCGTGGCCGGGCATGAAGCTGTGACAAAACTCAGAGAACTTGGTGTCAAGACCAATCTAGATGTTCTCCTACTAGACATCGAGGACGATGCCAGCATCGCATCACTGCCGCTGTCGCAACTGTTGATCAGAAACATGGGAAGTTGGACGGTATTTCTCTCCAGAGACTTTCATTCTGAACCAACATACTGATTTGTTGCAGTCTTGATCAATAATGCTGCCAAGTTAGAGGTTGCTGGTTCGGCAGAGCTTTCCGATATTCGGTCAAAATCAAACGCTGTGTACAACACCTGCATCACGTCAAACGCTATAGTCACCCAGGCTTTCCTGCCCTTGCTTCGAAAGGCCGAGTATCCGCGAGTCATCATGAACTCCAGTGCTAGGGGCAGCCTCACACGCACAGCATCTAGAGAGGTGAGCGCACAAAGACCACCGCTGTTGGGGTGCTTCAAGCTGATAGCCACTGCAGCTCCCGCCAGTCTCACTTGTGGAGTACTGCGTGGCTAAGGCAGCGCTTAACATGTTGACTTTACACTTTCAGCTTGCTGAAGAACAGAGGCAAGACGGAAATAAAGTCGTCTTTTGGGCCACTAGTCCAGGGCATTGTAAGACGGCCTTCAACAACTTCCGCGGGGTGAAGGAGCCAATTGATGGAGCAGAGGCAATCGTGCGCTTGCTGGAATCAGAAAAGGGGGTCACTGAGCCTGGCACGTTCTGGGAGTTCGAACAGGGTGAGTTCAGGATGGTGCCGTGGTAGATCATGGACGCTCTCGAATCCTTCTGTTGAGCCGTGTCCGACCACATGGAACAAGTCAACATGCCCGCATCGTAGATTGTCGTATGTCTGGTCAGAAAATGTCTTTGATTCTCGTCGACCAAGGTCCGCTCTCTATGAATACACTAGGTCGCGATGGACCAATGACTCGTCCGATTGCCCGCCGTTTAGTGTTTCGCCTTCTCGTCCTTGTCGGCGCTGTCCAAGAACTTCCTGTGCATGTTGTCAGCAATCGCAGGCCCTCGAAACGTCCAGGCAAAATCACGCACTTGATGAAGTCGGCCTCGTCGGAGCTGGCAGCGTTGATGGGGGGGATGGCAGTGGCCTTGTTGGCCTTGCTGCCGCCGCTGGTGCCGTAGATAGCGCCGCCGAAGAGGGTGGCAAGAACACCCATGGCCAGCTGTAAGTTGGCCCATGTTAGCAGTCGCTCAGCATCTTCATGTATTGCAGGTCGGCCGAAGGCGTCGCAGGGAGCGGCGGGCGAAGTCGGAGGTGCAACGTACGTAGTGGGAGCCGATCTGGCGGCCGGCGACAGTGTACATCTGAACCATTTTGGCGGTATTAGAGGGGTATTCGGACCTTCGGAGGTGAATTGGTTCGATGAGGGTGGAGTGGTGATGAGTGAAACTGCAATGGCGGCTCAATGTTCGGAGCTCGAAATTCGTTCGGAAGCTGCGAAAAGTCGAATGCCTGGTATGTCAGGCCATTTCAAGACTGGTCCAGTGTCTGGCGCGGCTTGGAGAGCGGGGAGTTCAGCCACAGCTAACCCCGGGTGATTCAGCCACAGATTAGAGTGGCGCAAGCTCCCATGCACCCCAGGAAGGTGCTAACCCGCTGAAGCGAAGCCGACGTCACTTCCCGACATTGGACCAGAAGGTTGATGCCGCGGGCGTTTCCGGCGCACGCATGGAAAAGTGGTGGTTGCCATCGCCTAGGCTCCCCTCACCCCAACCGCCGCCATCCATGCGCACTTAAGGCTGACAACACCTCCTTTTGCTTTTGAAGATTTCTGATTCAGACGAAGTATACCAACACAAGCAATCCATCACAATGTGGTGGGGTCGCAACTCAGACAAGAAGCCCGAGGAGTCGAAAGAGGCGACCAACAACGAGAATGGCGCCAAGCCCTTCGACCCCGAAAAGCTCCCCCCAAGGCAGAAGCTGCCAAAAGCCCTACAGAACATTATCGACAAATCCGACAAGGAGGAAAACTTCTTCGATGAATTAGTGGACGGGTAGTACGTGCTCTCGATTCCTCCCGATAGCCCTGCTGATGTCTTCTCCAGCGCACCCGAGTCAACCGAGTCCAACGTTCGTTACATGGCATACGCCACGCGCGTCCGCACCATCTTGCTGTCTGCGCACCGATACGTCGCCTACACCTCTGACATTGGCGAGTCGTTTCGCCCTGTTGCGCATCCCTATCTTGTCCGTGGCGCATATGGTATCTCATGGCTGTACATCCTAGGTGATGTCAGTTACGAAGGTTACAAGGCGTACTGGGCGAACCAGCGCATCCTGAACCCTCACCTCCAACTTACCGAGAGGCAAGCGAAGATCACGGGATTGCCGGAAGCCATCTCAGATGCCACACACCCCAGCCAGGTCGTCCCCGGTGGCAAGGTTGCGCCGTTGGACGACTACCGAACTGTCATGGTACAGCGCGGAATCTTCCAGAGCATCGCTAGTATGGGTCTGCCGGCCTTCACGATCCACAGCGTAGTGCGCTACTCTGGCAGGGCGATGAAGAACGTCAAGAACGCCAGGGTTAGAACCTGGGGCCCTATTGGCCTCGGTCTGGCTGTCGTTCCCTTCCTGCCCAGCCTCTTTGACGAGCCTGTCGAGAACGCAGTGGAGTGGATCTTCCACAAGGGCTTTGAGACATATGGCGGCAAGGATGCCGTTGGTGACGCGCCCGCCACAGGCCGCGAAGACTTGTTGGCGAAGAGACCCAAGGAGAAGGAACTTTAGATCCGGCGTTAAGAGGGGTAGCATGGTATGGATTGGACCGGAACACTTATTCAACTCATTGACTGGCTCGGCGCATTTGAAATCTCCCATGGTTATGGTATTGGCCCAGGTATAGCGTAGCCTCTATGGCGTGTGGTGCAATTGAGGGTATATACGGGAAAAGGCTTCTATAAACACACTTCATCATTCATCATCGTCGTTAAACCTCCATCAAGTTGGGCGGCGGGCCAACTCCGCGCAACAGTACGACCGTGTTACCACTGACCAGTGAAGCCCCGACCTTTTCGTTGAATTCCAGCAACCTGCCCCCCTCTACATGGAACACTCTCAGCTTGTCCCTCTCGTCTGATGACCGGTTGTTCATGTTCTCGACCTGTAACCTCCTTGCTGCCTCGTCTAGCACTCTTCCAACGACCCAGTCCTTGGAGAAGAAGAATTCACCCTTTGGAAACTTGGCCTTGGCAGTCTCCGCCTCGGCCTCGACGTAAAGATAGACTCTCTTCTCTTGCGCCAGCTTATCATCGCCCTTGGCCGTCTTCTTCAGGTTGTTCACAGCAATCAGCCTTGCCGATGCCGACGTAGGCTTTGGCTTCGGCAGTGCCCTTCCTGCTTGCTCTTTCTTCGCCGTTCCCCATGCTTTCAACTTATCAAATGCGCTTCTCGTCCGTGCGGCAACATCAATCTGCGAGCCGGGTCGGGCGCCAAGCGGCACAAGGTTCTTGCAATCGTGGTCCTCTTTCAAGCGATGCTTGAGGCAATAGTCGCGGTTGCAGCCCGAGCAGTGGACGCCGGGGACCAACGAAGTGCCGATGGTGGTCTTGCACGGGGGCGAGGCGCATGGCTTTTCGGAGACGTGGTCGCGCAGCTGGCGTCCGGCGCCATAGGCGGGCTTCGCGAGCTCGGCTTGACGGCGGCGCTCGGCCCAGGCGCCCGCATTTGCGCATTTGTGTGAGGACTCGGAGCGGTGGTCTAGGCAGAAGGTCTTTTTGCAGCTCTGGCAGAAGAAGGGGAGGAAGTCGAGCTGGTTGCAGTAGTCGTATTCGCAGTGCTTGCCCACGAGGGTCTCGTCGAAGCCGTCTTTGGAGTCGTCCATCTTGACGTAGCTCGTCTCGTCGGAATTGGATGAGGATGCCATTGTGAACGATGACGTCTGTGTCGAATATTTATTCTGCGGTGAACGGGGTGCTCTGGTGTACGTAGGCCTCGGATTTCGTGGCTCGAGGCTGAGCTGAGCGAGATGGAGATATGGCGACGGCGAGGTTGCTGAGAAATGGCGGCGGAATGGTCTGGAAAGAGCCAGCTGGCGGGACTTGGTCAGTGTTGGTCCGTTGGTTGCCTTCAGCGGGGCAGCCACTGAGGCGGGTGAGCGCAGACGCCAAGTACAGGGCGCGCGGCCGCTGGAAGCCTGAAATGGGGGTGGCCCATAACCGTTGCCATGGAAGGACGTGGACAGGCTGGACGCTAGAGCAGGGTATTGAGGCTGACTTCTGTGCACTTTGCGGGATGATGGAAGTATCCCACACGACTATGGATCTAGCAGCTAACGAAACACGGCCGTTGCTCTTGGATATCATCCTATCTTCATTGGCCATTTAGATCGGCTCCTTAAGACATCCACTACTTTGTACCTGACATACAGACAAGGTAACGGCAATAAGGAGGGGTGATCCCCGGACCCGCTTTTCAATCGGACCCGATAGAGTGGATCCCGGACCCTTAAAGTGCGTCGCGCTCTTCGCGTTTCCTGCAAATCAATGACGCAGTTGCTGCCGTTTTGTCGCATCTCCCCTGCAAAGCTTCTCGAGCTCCCATCCTCAGAGCATGGCCAGCTCTCAACCTCTCATCACCACCACGCACGATGCCTCCACACGTGCCGCGCAAGCGATTGCGCGAGGAGTCACCCGTCAAGTCGAGTCCTAAACGTCAACAGGTGGCGAAGGGTAAAGGCAAGCCTGCCGCTTCGGGTGCACGCCGAAAACCGACCCTGTACGATGATCTGGATACTACTGCCACGCCGGAGTCATGCAAAGGTGGCCGTTCTGTTTTGGAGGTGTTGTGCGACAGCGACGAGGACAGCTCACTGACCGATCTATCCGACGGAGATTTCGAGGATGTTCCTGTTGGCGATGGACAGAAGCCGGGGGAAGCAAACGAGCCGTCCGAGGATGACGATAACGACGACATCGAGTTCGAGGACGTTCCTGCTCCGAAGAACACCCTAGCCAAGGCGCCGACAGGATTCACCGACTTGCAACTCACTCTGGATGCTGGTTTCGGCGCTACGACAGATCCCTACGGCGACAAAAAGGGGCCTACCAAGCGCGAAAAGAAGATCAGAAATGTCACGCACTGCATTCACGTGCAGTACTTGCTGTGGCACAATGCTGTCCGGAATTCTTGGCTTTGCGATCCTGAAGTTCAGGCAATTATGATGTCTCACGTCCCCCCTCGTCTATGGGACGAGGTGGACCGATGGAGGAGAACCAGTGGACTGGACTCGCAACCGAAAGCGAAGCCAACCCCGACGAAGAAACCCACGCCGGCGAAGAAGACCCGGGGCAGAGGCAAGGCAAAGAAGACCGAAGAGAAAGACTCGAGAGACTGGGGTGCCGAAGCAGAGAGGCTCGAAGAGGGGGCTGTTGATATGAGCCACGGCGACCCGCTGTTCCGACTTATGAAGTCGCTGGTGGCGTGGTGGAGGCAACGGTTCCGTATCACAGCACCCGGGATCCGGAAGTGGGGCTACATGCACCCTGAAAGAGTTGGCAGACTGAGAAAGGCGTGGGAGAGCGAGGATCACGACCAAGATCGGTTCGGGGAAAGGATCTGCGGCTTGGAGGACTTCCGCCGATGCGCCCAGGACTGCACAGGAAGCCGAGACGTAGGATCTCAGCTCTTCACAGCTCTAATGAGGGCTCTGGGACTCGAGGCCCGAATGGTTGCAAACTTGCAGCCACTTGGTTTTGGATGGACGAAGGCGGAGGAAGCTGATCCTGAAAAGGACAAGGCTGGAGTCCCGACATCTAAGAGCAGCGACAAGAAGAGTCAAGAAAGTCAAAAGCCGAAGGGAGGCACCAAGAAAGGAACGAAAACAGCACCCAAGAAAGCGACTCCGTCCAAAACGACAAGTTCGAGACGCGCAAGTCAGAAAAAGACCGTCATCGAGGTGCCTGATACAGACGACGAACTTGGGTTAGAGCATCCTGACAGCGACGACGATTCGATTATAGAATTGGAGGTAACCCCTCGAAAATCAGCGCCTTCCAAGAAGTTCGACAACGACCTAGAGTTTCCACATTATTGGACAGAAGTCATGTCACCGGTCACGAAGAAATATCTGCCGGTTGACCCGATCGTCAAGAATGTCATTGGTACCAACCGAGAGCTGATTGAGTCTCTGGAGCCCCGCGGAGGCAAGGCAGACAAGGCCAAGGAGGTAATGGCGTACGTTGTCGGCTTCTCCCAGGATGGAACAGCAAAGGACGTCACCGTTCGTTATCTCAGAAAACAATTGTGGCCGGGAAGGACGAAGGGAGCAAGAATGCCGTTGGAGAAAGTACCTATTTACAATCGCCATGGCAAGGTAAAGCGACATGACCACTTCGACTGGTTCAAGTCTGCCATGCATGGATTCGTTAGGGGCAGTCGAAAACACCCCCTTACAGAGGAGGACGAGGCCGAGAACACAACTGACTTGACTCCGGCCCAACCCGAGAAGAAAGAGGTTAAGGAGGGCAGTGAAACCCTAGCTTATTACAAGCAGTCGAAGGAGTTTTGTCTGGAGCGGCATCTCAAGCGCGAAGAAGCACTCTTACCTGGGTCAAAACCTGTCAAGACTTTCAAAAACAAAGGCAAAGGCGGGGATATATCGGAAGAGCCAGTTTTCTCGAGAAAGGACGTCGTCAATGTCAAGAGCGCAGAGACGTGGCACAAGCAAGGCAGAGCACTGAAGCCTGGTGAACTGCCCCTCAAGCGAGTGCCGTACCGCGCCGCGACAACCAACAGACGCCGAGAAATCGCGGAGGCGGAAGCCACCAGCGGCGAGAAGGTTCTTCAGGGATTGTACAGTCTTGAACAGACGGACTGGATCATCCCGCCGCCTATCAAGGACGGCATCATCCCGAAGAACGATTATGGGTATGTTGCTCTTTATGTCTACGAAATGCGTTGCTGACAATATCTAGCAATATCGATCTTTTCGCCGAGCACATGTGTCCCGAAGGTGCTGTCCACGTCCCTTTCCGAGGGGCCGTCAAGGTTTGCAAGAGGCTTGGCATTGACTACGCAGAAGCTGTGGTGGACTTTGAATTTGGAAACCGAATGGCGGTTCCCGTCATTCAAGGTGTGGTTATTGCGGAGGAATACCACGACCAGGTTATGGAAGAGATCCGCAAAGACGAAGCTGAGCGAGCGCGCAAGGAGGACGAGAAACGGCGCAAAGAGGCATTGCGACTTTGGAGCAAGTTTATCAAAGGGTTGCGCATTGTCGAGCGCATTCGGCAGGATTACGGCCATGTCGATGACAGCGTTCCTGTTTTCCAGAAGCATGGCGGGAGTAAGGAAGCTAAGGAAGACCAGGACGAGTCAACTAAAGTGGATGCAGAGGCAATGCGGGTGCGAGATGAAGAGATGGCAGGCGGCTTTTTCCCTGAAGGGCATGATGAGGAGGAAGCAGGCGGCTTCTTTACCGAAGGACACGAAGAAGAAGAGGCCGAGCCCAAGCGGTTTACGTCAGGATTCTTTCCAGTCGTCGACGACGAAGATGGCGACGAGAACATGGACGATGCACTGGTTGTGGATCACGGTGGTGAGGTTCAACCTATCGCGGAAAGCGCGGAAGGCGTGGAGGACGTCGCTGAGGAGGCTTCAGAGCCAGAGCCACAGCCAGAGCCAGAGCCTCTCCCCGCGCCTGTGAAGGCTAAACCACGGGCGAAGAAAGCAACGAAAGCTGCGACCAGAAGATCGACCAGGCGCAGACGGAAGGTTGTTTCCGAAAGCGAGGAAGACGACGACGAAGATGAAGACTTCCAAGATTCGGACGACGACTATGTGTGACACAGCTCGGACGCAGTGTATCTTTTACGAGCAAGAATCTAGGAGCGCACGGGATGGATGACGAGCAGCTGGCTTTGGGGCGCGAAGCTCTTCAGAGGATCCATATGAGCTACCGTGGCCATTGTTACACAATGAGGAAGTGAAGGCAGCCGTTTCGTGCAACCAATGGAAGTTTCCAAGCCCAGTTTGACTGGGTGTGCATAGAACGAGACATGTCATTCGTTGTCGCCAATAGAAAGCCTCCGCTCCCGATATGATTATGCTGAAATGTGTTGGCTTGCGGGGGCAGCAGCGGGTTTGATTTACGACGTCGAGAGTGCCCATACGGACTTGTAGCAGGTGACCAGTTGAGACATGAAGATGACATGCCAGGCGTGCCAGGGTGGTGCCACGCCCTTGCTGCGCTGCGAATCGCCTAACCCGGATACTTGGTTGATTATGTCGTTGCGGATTTATCAACTGTAGCTTAAGCTGGGAGAGATATTAAAGCTGTCGAAAGCTGGGCAAGAGGCAACTTCTGTCATGCCATCATGTCGAAATGATTTCCGTGCTTTGAGAGCGCACCGCAGGCGGCTGCTATCGATTCAATACATTTAGAATTGGATCTGGATAGTATCGATGTTAGTCAGATATCCATTCGACGATCATGGGTGACAAAGGTCGCCCAGGGCCCTCCCCTGCAAAGACCCATGGATAGGCGGCACTAGGGCGTCCAGGGTGCTCAGAGCGTTCGCGTTCCCAAATTCCCGGGGCATATTCGACGATCCACCGGCCCATCTAACCCTTTTTTCTGGTTTTTTTTTTTGTATTCTTCCAACATCACCTCATATTTCCGCCCGCGATCCGGATGCGCATTTCGGCCGTTGCGCATCTGCGATTTAAATAAACAATAAGATACTTGGTCACCGGATGTAACCTGACATCTCTGGTAATCGACGAGCCAGCTGCAGATCGAACGAAGCATCGAGGCCGCGTGCATCTCCAGGAACGGGCCAATACTTTTTTGTTCGTTTCGAGGCGACCAGGAGACGGAGTCGGAGCCTCGCGGTTCTTACCTTAAGGTAGGGAGAGGCTGAAAGAGAGGACTACAATCGGGGCGCCGGACTGTGAATCATTATTCCTGCCGTAATTCTTGCCTAGTACTCGGCAGCAGGTTATTTTCCAAGACACATACCTACTTCCCAAGGTCGATTTTCGTTTGTCGGGCCCAAAGTCCTTCCTTCCACCCGCGCTTTCTAAAGTCTTCATCGCAAAGGGAACACCGGCGCACTCCTCATTCAACTTCACTCGCGATCGCCTTGAGTTGCCTTGCGCTGCCCTGGGACCTCAACGACTTGGACTCGCCTGAGGAAGCCACAGCCGTCCCGCGAAGTTGCCTTGGCTCACCTTTTTGTCTCTGCAGCTGCCTCCGTTCGTTCTCTGTTTGTTCCCTCACGACCTCGCCTTTGATATCAGGTATACTTCTTCTTCGCAACAACGAGTTGACCGCCGTCATTCCATCGACATCCATTCACTTGAGCCGCCGTTGATATTTCTCTCCGTTCGTTTGACCACCTGAGTCGTCTCACCAGCGCGACCTTCGACCTGCCATATCCATCTCGAGACCGACCTCGCCTCTGGCTCTTCTCCGAGTCTTCATCACCACCAAGATATCAGGCTCTCTCTCGCCTGCCTTTTCGACGGGTTGCTCGTCCAGGTAAGTTGGCAACTTTTGTTTTCTTCAATATCACCGTCATTTTCTCCCTGGCGTGAACGTCCCACTTAGGGTCCGAACCTTCTTGCTCGGCCATGGCGTCGATGGCGCTGTCATACATCCACCTTACAAATATTGAAAGGCGCAAAGGGTTGAACATCGCATTTTTGTCATGCGCCCCAACGCAGAAGTATCTTTCCCATCAACCCCTCCCGAATATTGTTTCTTGCGGCCGTCTCCACGCCACCAGCGACATCCCCTCTACTCATAAACACCCCTTCGACATCCCTGTTCGCTTGCTACGTGTGTGAGCCCTTCTCCAGCTCCAATACCTCAGAAGTTGTATCTCATTATTAGCACCATGGGACTGGGATCAAGCCGGCCTATGAAGGGCGAGGCAGACGCTGACCGTCCACAGAGCAAAGATCTCGAGCCAAATTTGCGGCGACAGTCTAAACGGCACGAACGACCACGATCCCAAATTCAGCCTCAAACGGTGTCTCCGCGTCCCGCTTCTCCGGATTGGTCGTCCGCCGTTGAACCTCTTCCACCCCCAGATCACCCGCCTACCCCATTACAGCCACCACCGGTTCCTCCAGGCCGCGTAGAGAAGAACGGCTTGTTTGGCCGGGTTGCGCATCTGCGCTCTTATGTCGCCGATATCGAGTCTGCTCGCACCCTTCGTCGTTCGCCTGCCCTTCGACGCACTCACCGTGTTGCCAAACCTGCTGAACCGCGCCCTCAGTCCCCGAATCTAGCTCAGAGGCCAGTGCTCGCAGAGCCAACAATCGGTGAACATCCTCCCCCTGGACAGGACGAGCTTTCGACCGTACCAGAAGCCAATGGTCCCGTAAAAGCGAACCAACCAAAGCCTCGCAGTTATCGACAGATGGCAGACATCGAGGCCAACATCAAGAGCGACTGCGCAGCTCAGATCTTTGCCGTTTTCCCGGATATCTGCCCCGAGTACTTCGAGAAGACAGCCACGGAGCTTCTTTACGATGTCGACAAAATCATCGAGGAGATTCTAGGCGCTTCCTCATATCCCAAGAAAGCCCGCTCAAAAAGTCTCAAGCGCAAACGCGAGTCTCCGGCAGAAAAGGATGAGATCTCCAAGGTACGGCAACTTTACGACTTCGCCAATCGTCCTCCGGAGAGAGCACATGTCTACATTAGTATCTCGTAAGTTTTTATGCGACCCCCTTTGAAACCCAACCCGATGCACCCAAAACCATGGCATTCAGACTGGTCGACGTTGGAAGATCCGGTGCTAATGACCGATGCAGGAAGAAAGTGCTCTCCCAAGACTTCCCGCGAGCTACTATCAAGAGTATCACGAAACTACTAGCAGAGCACAATAATTGTCTGATGCAGACATATCTCGCTTTGGATGAGATCACCCGCGATTGGAAATCAGGCAAAACTAAAGCCCACTTCGAGTTCAAGAAAACCAGAACACCACCTAATCCGGAGCTTGAGCCGGCGAATTTAGATGGGACTATTCGCGACTCAACAACTCCTGACAGGACAAGAGCTCTCGAGGAACTACGGGCTGCTCGGCAGGTATGCGAAGCAGATCAGTCTAGGCGGAACACAGCAAGGGCCAAAGTTCTCGAGGAAGAAAATAACTTCAAGCAAGCCCAGGAAGAAGGAACTATTGCTGAATGTGGCTGCTGCTTCGACGAACAACCGCTGAACCGCATGGTTCACTGCGACAACCCGGACGCTGAGCACGTGAGTGGACATCATACACTTCTTGTGGAAGCTTGCAGACCTAACTTTGCATTAGTATTTCTGCTTCGCTTGCGCGCGAAAGTGCGCTGAGACAGCGATTGGACTCGCGAGATTTCAACTCAACTGTATGTCAATGGACGGCTGCAGCCATGATTTCTCTCATTCCCAGCGGGCGATCTTCCTCGACGACAAGCTGCAAGCAGCGCTTGACCGCATAGAATTTGAAGCAGCTCTACAAGCCCAAGGCTTCGAGAATCTCTCAGCATGTCCGTTCTGTCCATACGCCGCCGACTGCCCTCCAGTCGAGGAGGACAAAGAGTTCAGGTGTGCCAACCCTGAATGCGAGATCGTCAGCTGCCGCCTATGTAAAGAAGAGACACATGTTCCCCGGACATGTGAGGAGGCCGCAGCCGAAAGCGGAATATCGGAACGTCGCAAAATCGAGGAGGCCATGTCTGAAGCCTTAATCCGCAAATGCAACAAATGTAGGTTTCCCAAGAGACGTAGCCGCGAGAGCTGATTGCTGATGATTTATGCAGGCGGCACTCCTTTTATTAAAGAGGAAGGCTGCAACAAAATGACTTGCACCAGGCCAGGATGCAGAAATGTGCAGTGCTATGTTTGCTCTAAATCTTGCGCATACGATCACTTTGACGACGCTGCCAGAGGGGGAAAGAAGGGAAACTGCCCCCTCTTCGAACAGACCGAGGTTCGCCACGAGAAAGAAGTTCGGCAGGCCGAGGAGGAAGCCCGCCAGAAGGTCTTAGCAGCCAAGCCCAAGTTGAACGAAGGGCTTCTCAAATTCAACATGTCTGAGCATGTCACGAAGGGGGAGAAGAAAACCCGAAGTATGGCACACATTGAACGAGGTCCGCAAGTAGTCCAGCGTCGGCACGCAGGTGTCGACCCGGTCGGAGAAGCTATGAGACTGCATCTGGATCCAGACGCACTAGCTGCTGAGCAAAGAATCCAGGCTCTAATTGCCGGCGAGCAGGCCGCCTGGAACAATCGGCTAGGTCTTCATCAAGCCATCGCGCAAAACCCATCGCAGGCTCAGCCTCCTGAGCAGCCCAAGCCGGTTCGCCTGGCCAGACCAGCCCAGCCGGCAATACAGCAAGCGATGGCTCTACAACACGGAGCAAATGCACTGCCTGGAGCTCAGAATCTTGCGGTCGGTGGTCCACAAATTGCGGCGCCCTACAATCCTGTGGTTCCTAGGTATTCGTCAAAGTTGCCTCTGCCGATTCAGCAACCGCTTTTCCCACAGCCGATTCCCCCAGCAGCGTATCAGTTTCAGGCTGGCAACAATGGTAACCAGTCTGCCCAGCAGAGACAGCCACTCGCGCAACATCATGTGGTTCGGCCACATCGTGACGGACACAATACTGGAAGGCAGGTACCGAACGCAGCGGCCAGAGCCGCCCCGCAGGCGGTGAATGGTCTTTTCGGGGTTCCTGATGCCGTCGCCAACAACAAATGGAATCAACTGAATATGCCGCCATTTGGCGGGGGGATCGATCCATTCGAACTCGATATTGGCTTCGAATTGGGACTCATGGCTCAGCAACCCGCCAACATTGACCACTCCTATCCGATGTCACTGTTCGGTGCCGAGGCAAACAACCCTCCTGTGCCAGGTGGCATGAACTTTGGCAACAATGCTTATGGGAATCCGGTGAACTATGTGGTTCAGCAACCAAGGGATGCGTCCGAGCTCGGGAGAACTAGAGATAACCCCCTGGAGCTCGACTAGGTCCCTTGCTGCCGTACGTTCTGAGACTGGTATACGGATTTGCTCATCTCATTCATATAAGAAGATTGATGGGGCTGAGGCGAAGATCATCAGACGAAATCATCTGATGTCTTTCCTTGGAAGGAAGCAGATGGCTCGCTGTTGCGCACTCTGGAGGTTTGGTCTCATGCTTTGAGCTGAGGAGCGAGAGCATCCAAGCATGGCGTTGGCAACTTGATCCTTTGGACTTGCATTGTTGTTACAGTTGCCTTGAAGGCGTTTTGGAAGGGCGTTTGGGGGTATCTTGTTTACGAGTATCATCAAGTAGTCCTCGACGAGACGACAGCCGATTTGGTATTAATACAGCGCTTTAATAAGTAACATATCTGCTGCGTATGTGAAGTACGATGGTGACGCCTACGGAGCTACCGCCCTCTTCCAAACTTTTCATGCCATTTTCCCTTGCTACCAGTGTTTTTGAGGTTAGAGATGGGTTGAGGGTCCGTCTGGGCGACAAGCTCGATGGTTTCGTGGATGGTGGCAATGGCGGCGAGACCGGAGGTGGGGATATCTTCGGTGGATGGCACGGAGGAATGGGGCGTGAGGAGGATGAGGGAGTTTGACGTATTTTTCTGGAGCAGCTTGTACGTCTTATCTGGGGTTTTCAGGAGGGCGTTTGTGTCTGTCGACTTGAGCGTGATGCTGTGCCGTAGATGAGCTTGACGTTCGTGATGCGGCTCAGCGACGCGGGTGATGGGCGGAGGGGAGACGGGGACGGGGAGGGGCTGAATAATGACTTACACCGGAGCATCGTCGGCAGCGAGCAGGGCCTCGAGCTCGGGGGGCAGTTCCATGAGCTTGTAGACGCGGCCGTCCGGGGCATGGGTTAGTGGAATGCCGGGGTCCTGGCTAGCCATATTTTTTTTTGTTGGTTGTTTGTCTCGCTCTGAGACTTGACTGCTGCCTTTTTTTTTTTCGGGGTCCGTTTGGGTTTGGTTTAGCGGGTGTGGGTGATTTACACGTGTTGGTTTGACTCAAGATCTGGTGTCTATCCGCATCTCTCTGTCTTTCAGTGAGGGGGATACACGTGTTGCGCGGTGGGAATGCTGGGTGGATTTGTGGTGTGGATTCTTGGGTGGGATGTCTGTGTGACGGTTGGCGGTTGCTGGTTTCCGTGGTGGTCGGGTTTTTTCTTTCTTTTTCTGCTGCTGCCTTTTCCCCTCCAGCGTTCTGCTCCGTTTGAAGTCGAATCAGATTTCGTCTAATTGGGTGCGGGGAAAAGTCTGGATTTGGGGACAGGGAACAGACTTGAAGGCGGGCAGGGATTGTGGGACGAGATTGGGGATCAGAGATTGGATGCGGCGGGAAGCTCCTCCCATTCTCCCAAGCAGGAGGGGATCGCAGCGGTGCACGGGCCAGGTGAGCTTTTTTTAGGGCCGAGTTCCTTGTTTAAGGCTGCGCGGCTGTTGCTGGTTGAGAGCGGGTCACGTTTCTGGTCTTTTGGGTCTTTCTTGTTGTTTACGTTTGGCATCATTGGGTGTTTGAATGTTTGGATTGCCTTGAGTGAATGAATACATCGTGAGATTTGATTCTGGCGTCGTTTAGCTTTGGGGCGTCGGTGAAGTGAGAGGATGTTTCATGGTGTGACGGCTGTCAATCGATTGGTCTGGACCGACCGAACCTGCGCTGCGGTGGTGGTGGTGGTGTTGCTTCCTGCAGCTGCATCCCATTTGCACCAACACCACTCAGAGCAGCCGCTGATGAAAATTCTCCTCTACCCAGGCTCCCTACCTAGGCGACGGCATAGTACAGCATACCCCCGTCAATAGGTTTATCGCGGCTCGCACAGTCGGGCAGTCTTTTTTGTCTAATTTTTCAGTGGATTGATCATTTTCGAGTCGCGTGTCCGCTTGTTGTCTCTCGCATGCGCAGTAATAGCTACTGATGAGAAACGAGCGAAAGTCGGAAACAACACAGACAACAGGGGAGGAAGAAAAAAAGGTCTGGGCCGCAACCAGTGAGGCGTTAATCGGGTCGCTTATTTCTCCCAGCCCCCCCGGTACACTACCTGGCCGTCCCAATTGCCCTGTTTGTACTCTTTGTCGTCATTCTTTTCCCACTTTCCCCATCGCCATCTCTTTTGACTCGGACTTGTCGTTGCATGGGAGAGTCGGTGAAGAGGAGCAAAGGGAGGGCAGTATCCGTACTAAGATAGGTGCCTGGGAAGAAGCGAAAAAGAATAAGGCGTTGTTTCCTGTTTCACTGCATGGCATCTCGGTCAACAAAGAAACATCAACAACAGAAAGGAAGACGTGAGCAGGGTTTGCCTGTCATTGTGGTACCTTGCTCTCTGGACCCTTCACTTTAACATTGCATCTGGGCTTGGACTTTGCAGTTGCAGCAACGCAACCACCAAAAGCTCTCAGTAAACAAACAACAACACGCCCCACGTACCAACCACCTCTCAATCTGCAGACTGACCACTGCACTCGAACTGACACCTCTGGCACGGCGACAGACGACAGCCCACGGACAGGCTACCCAGCGACTATCGTTGCGATAGATAGGCACGCTACCTTAGGCCAGAGCGGGCTAAGGAACTGAGCAGACTGCGACCGTAGCTGAGGTCGTGGTTGTTGTCGCCCAGAAAAGTCTCCACCCACAGCACCACCGTCACAACACACACAGAGGTGAGGTGGGCAGCAGCAGCACCGCACCGCACCGCACCGCACCGCACCGCACCGCACCTGCGACCCGACGACCTTCAACTCGACTCGACCCCGGCCAAGCTCAACGCCAGCCAACTCACACCGACACAACATCATCTTTCTCCGGGCAGTTTCGAGTCTTGCTTCTTGCTGACCTTGACGCGCTAACCAGACTGGCACTCGCCGCCTCTTCATCACACTCTTTTTGTCCCTAATTACTTTTTTTTTTCTTGTCTCTTGAAGTCTACTCTACTCTACGATTTGCTGGTGCTGTCCCATCTCGCTTGTCGCATCGCGATCTTATCGCTGCCGCTGTCGCCGCTCTCGCCCCCGGCTGCGACTCATCCCGACCGCCACTCGCTCTAGCGACGACAATTGCGCCCGACGCGATCGACACCTACATACGCATAGTCACACTCGTTCAACGTCTTTGCTCTCTCCCTTTTGTGTGATTTGTACGCCCGCCCCGTCAGCAATGACCCTGGCCCATTGACGAGACCACGCGACCGACCGATCGACCGAACGACCGACTGCCCATCGCCAACAGCAGCAGCAGCAGCAGCCCCCGACAATGGTTCGTGTCACGGAAGAGCTGGCTCTGTCCGCCGAGCACCTCACCCTCTACCACGCCGCCGACCCCCTCCTCGGCCACCTGCCCGTCCTCATCTTCCACGGCCACTCCACCACCGCAAACTACACCCTCAACAGCTCCCGCGTCCAGATCCACGTCTACAGCCCCGCCGGCTTCCAATCCTTCCCGCGCCTGACCATCCAGCCCAACTCCCCCTTCTACGCCGTCGTCAACCACCTCCCTCGAGAATGGCAGGGTGACGAGATCTACCGAGGCCTCGCCTTCGGTCTGTACAAATACTTCCAGGAGCTGCCCGAGGTCGTCAAGAATCACCTCAAAAACACATACCCGACCACGAGGGGGCGCCGGCCAGGAAGTGGGCCCGCCCTGTTTGGAGAGCAACATGCCGCCGACCTGGCCAAGAACATGATCAAGAGCGAGAACACGGTCGAGGTGCTCGAGACCCTGCAGACGGCCCTCCAGACCCAGCACCTTAGCAATGTCGATATCGATTTTGTCCTACCGCCCGGTTCCATAGTGCCGCTACAACCGGAGGACTTGGAGGAGGTGCCCGAGGACGAGGACGACATTCTTGACCCAACGCTGCGACAGTATGGAGGGTACTCGTCGCTGGTGAAGCTTCTTGGAGAGCCTGTCTTCTTGCCGACATCAAGGTTACGGAGAGCGCCGTCAAAGCCGACTTCGCTGAATCGCAGCAAGTCGTTCTCCAAGGACCAAAAGGTGGAGCTGAGGATGAAGCTTGGAGAGCTGGTGGACACCGAGGAGAGATACGTCCTGAAGCTGAACGAGTTGGTCAAGCACATTGCCGACGAGTTCAGGCAATCAGCGAGACAACGCGACGCTGGCAGCCTGAGCCCATCCGAAGATGAGCTCGAGAAATTATTTCCCGCATCAGCAGATAAGATTCTGCAGGTCAACTCCGCGTTCATGCAGGAGCTGCGCAAGATCATGGACGACACTGAGGACGAGGCGCTGAAGGACATGGAGACGACCACAGTTGCGCTCACGGGATCCAGACTGGGATCTCCCTCAAAAGCAAAGGACCCCAGCGGCGCATTGGCGATTGCGAGAATATTTCTCGAGTGGTTCCCCAAGTTTACAGATTGCTACCAGGACTACATCCGGGCAAGTCAGCATTTCCCCACTTTGCTCAACTCATTCCTCGATGAGCAGTCGAGCTTCCGACAACGGGTCATCCAGAAGGGCGAGCAAACGGTCCGCTCCATACTCATCGAGCCTGTGCAGCGTCTCCCTCGATACAGCTTGCTCATTGACCAGATCGTCCAGTGTCTCCCAATGACACATCCTGCGCTCCAGCCGATGCTCAAGGCGCGAGACATCATCACGAACATTTGCTCAATGGACGACCCCGTACCCGAAAAACCACACGTAACGGGTCGCCTACGAAATCTGGTTGAGAGTTGGCCTTTGGATCTTGAGCCGGTGGGAAGATTGGTGCTTGCGGCGGACTTTGTTGAGCTCCCAGCACCCTACCGGCTACTTGACCCACCCCAAATGTCGGAGCGTGCTGGCATCTTTCTCCTGTTTTCAGATTGTCTCGTCATCTTGAAGAAGCTGGGTCCGAAGCCGATGTGTGGACGAGACCTCCTTCGTGAGATTGACAAACCGTCGGCCGCCGGGCTCTTAATGTCCATGACCAATGCTGCAGGTGGTCAGGCATCATACGAACTCGCCTTCACCGGCTGGCACAGCCTTTCCGACGTACGCTTCAGCGAATCCGCAGATGGCACGCTCATTTGGATGACCTCGACACAAGAAATGAAGGGAGCGCATGCTGGAGAATGGGTTACTGGCACCGCTGTCACGTCACGGTGCTTCTTGCTTGAGGAAAGCTTTGAGGCGAAGGGATCGAAATGGACAGAGGATATCGTCAAAGCGCGAGTCGAAGGTCGATTTTCGGAAAAGGAGCGCGAAGACCCAAGCTGGTCTCTTCGATCTTTCAGGCTGCCAGACAATAATCTCGGAGTTTTCGCCGCCGTTTTCCAAGAGGGCGCAGATCAGTTGATCGAAGGACGCAGAGAGCCGGCGCCGATCCGCATCGTCATCGACCACGAGAAGGGTACCAAAGGAGCACCCATTGGCCATTACGGTGTGGAAATTACGGTCAACGTTAGAAGCGGTGACCTGAAGAAGGTGAACATGCAGACTGCTGGCTTGAACGGCAGGCAATTTGCCGACGATGTGGCGTTGGACGACTTTTTGCCAACGCTCACACGACGGGGTAGGTTTTCTTAATGCTCTTTGAAGGAACTTCATTGACCTTGTTCCCAGTCATACAACTACTCAGCTTGCAGTTCAACGCATCGAATCTCCGCTTGGCGCCTGCCCTGGTCTCATACTACACTAAAATCCTCAAGGGACTGCCTCTAATGACCAGAGCAGAGAAGACCAGATCTTTCCTTGCCTCGTCGCCTGTCAAGGGATTATTCTCAAGCATCTGGGGCGGCTCTACGAATACCGAGGCACACAGCCCACCCAAGCACAACCGCACACCCGTTACGAATCTTTTCCCGCCGCCGCCCGTCTCTCGTGCAAATAGCGATCAAGGGTCCGTATTTGGCTCAGCCAGGGGCAAGGATGGCATCAAGATGGCAGGCGACGATCGTCCTGAAAACCCGTTAGTGCGGCTAGAGCAGACATTTACGGGATATGTTGCCAGTCTGCAAAATCGCAAGGGTAGCATCGTCGGACGCATGTTGCTGAATCGATCCGTCGCGGATGAGCTTTCTGTCAATGATCTCTACAACCGTCTGATTGAAAGCCCCTTCGACCTCGACGCCTCATCAGAGCTGGGAGCGGACGTCATATTTGTGGCCTTTGAGAAGTTCATTCGCATCGCTTGGTGCGAACAAATGGGTCCCATCATGACGAAGCAGGCTCTGGACACGTTGCTGGAGCGCATGAACCGACAGGTGCCTGGCAACTTTGCTGACTTTGTCAACTTCATGTTCAAGGATATGGCGCCCCAGAACCAGCGAGCTTTCACGGCTCTCATTAAGCTCCTTGCCGATTTGCTCGACGGTTGCGGTAACGACGGCGACCGGGGCATTTTGACCGTTTCTTTTGCAGAGCTTTTGGTTCATGATGGCACGGCGCAAAACTACATCAACCTTCTGGATCGCCTGGTGGAGGATTGCGACAGGATCTTTGATGAACCCGGCGGTATCCATCTCACCGTTCAGCAAGCCTTCGAGTCTATGAACTCTCGAAGCGGAAAGTCGCATACAGGCTCACTCACCTCAAACACATCTTCGATCCGCCGCAAATTTGGCTTCGACACCCTTCTGCGACAAAACAGCAAGAACGACTCAGAGCGGCCATCCGTCTGGCGAACTCTTAGCAAACATGGCCGTCACCCTGCGTCTGCCGATGCAGCCTCAAGTTCTAGTCTGTCCAAGATGACGTCTGCACGCGCAAGGTCCATCGACTCTGGCACTGGCACGCAGCCTGGTCCCAATAAGCTTAGGCGGCCCGGCTCTCGCGATAGACCGCCAATAGCTGGCGCATTCGATGAAGACCCTCGACCACCCAGCTCCCAGCGACTCGATATGCGCTTGGAAACGATTGGCGAGCCGGAAGTTGAGACACCTCCCACCAAGTCATCCAAGAAGAAGCGCCGCAGCTCGCTCTCTGACCTCAGAAGTTTGATGGAAGCAGCAACGATTGTCGACCCACAAGAGAAAATAGAGGAGGCGTTGATGCCGCTACGCATCAACAAGCAGACTTCAGAGAAGTTCAACTCAACACCAAGGATACCGTCGCCTTCAAGGATACCAATAAGCCCAACGTCCTCGAGTCTCCGGTCTCCTCGCATGATCTCGCCACGTCTGAAGGAAAACCCCGCGTCACCAGATCCACTCCAAATCCTCCACACTCCCCGCACGCCTCACACCCCTGGAGTTCTCGACCGCGAGAACACGCCAAGCCGCACGCCTAAGGGGCACGGAAGAGGCCTTTCAACGTCAAATATTCCCACACTTAGGCCTGCGCGTCCGACAACAGGCAGCCACTCGAGCGATGCCATCCCGCGACCATCCACCAGCCCCGGGAAGCCACCAGGAACCGGGAAGCTTCGCCTTCAGTCACCACAAAAGCTACGGGAGCGGTTGCAGACGGAGAAGAAGGCCGTTGAAGATGTCGATGCGTCGCTCAAGTCGGAGCTCTCCAAGATTGCCGAGGAAATGTCACGGGTCAACTCGGGTCTCGGCGGGCGCACCGATACGTTGGACCTGCGCAAGCTGACAGACTCTGTCAAGACTCTCGAAGAGCGGATCCCGAACATGATGACTGAGCTCACCGAGCGGCAAACGTCCATACAACGCGATATGGAGAGCACTCTCAAGGCGTCGGAGACCAAAGTCAAGAGTATCGATCAGCTCTACAGAGAGGCGACGGCGGAGAACGAGCTCATGTACGAAAAGTTCAATAGCGAGCTCGGCAAGATTGTCAAGGCGCTGAAGGGCAAGGGCCGCGAGGACAAAGAGGATCTCCTCCGGAGCCTGCGTGAGCACAGCGAAGAGACGGCGCGGGTCAAGAAGGAGAACGCGCGGCTGAAGCGGGAGATTGTCAGCCTTCGGACTCTGATGAAGGGGGCCGACGCCTAGTCAACTTGGAGAAAAAAAACGGTGTGGGATTAAAGCTAGGCCAAAATCTGTCGGTATGCTCTTGTGGCGTTTTTTTTTTTCGGGAAATATGCGTTGCGAGCGAGTCCAGGGCTTGGGGGTGTACTACTAACTACTTTTTCGCAACTACTACCATGGTTTGATTTCCTGGCTTGTCTCTTTCATTTCGCACGACCTGGCACCTTCACCTTGGGTCGGGACTCCGGGAGGAGAATTGGGTCCTTTTTTTCTTCGGTCGGGCCTGGGCAGGCAGGTGGGCAGTAAGCAGGCCCGACACTGACATGGACGGGATTGGAATTGGGCTGGCTTGGTTGACTTGGATGAACGGGATGTGGGTGGATAGATAGATGGCGGGGTCTTGTGTGGATTGATGGATGGATGGATATGCTGACGGATAGCATGTGGAATGTGTATACGGTGGATGAATTGAGATGTGAGTTTAATGATGGGCTGACCCGTGTGATTTGCTATGCTGTTTGGTGTGTCCTGCCTTGCTCGTGGTTTTCGGGTGAAGACCCTTTGTTTTCCTGCTGAGAAGAGCAACTACTTTTCTCTTGTGAGCTTGTTCATGGGCTCCTGCCGTTGCCGCTTTCGTGCTGTCGCTCCTTCACCTTCGTTTCTTTTTTTTTTTTTTTTTTTTTTTTTTTTTTTTGGGTGCGGTGAGGGGGCTTCCACGATTGCCATCTCTGTTATCGTCTTCTTTTCCGTCTTCATCTTCGTCGTCGTCCCTGGGTACCGTCGTCCTCCATCATCGCGCAGACGAAGGAGAAGCCGCCGTTTGATTGGCTTGCTTTGACAGGGCACCCTAGTGCGGACCTTGGTAGGTACCCTGCTTCTAGGTACCCACAGTATGGACTTTTGGACCTACCGCCGTACCTTCTCTTCTCCTCGATCTTCACAGTATTGACTTCCTTCAGCCTGGAAAAAATTAAAGGCGTTCAGAAACGCCACCCGAAACTCACGATGAATACCAACTCGGCGTCTGTCATCAGTGAGGATGAAATCAAGGATCTTGTGGCCAGATTGGAGGCCAAACTCCGAAACAGCGATCCAGAAACCCGTGTCACACCCCGAGAACTTGCGGCCTACAAGCGCAACGTCGCTGCACGAGTTGTACGCAGAACGAGAGGTCAAGATTATCTCGACGACGCCAAAGCCAACTTGGAGGACCGCCTTGACGCGATGAGAGCTATTCACAACACCATCGGCACCCACGAGGACTTCATCCCCATGTACCAGTCCGACAAACGCACCCTACGATCTGCCCGTTTGTGGGCGTCGATGTTGACGATGGACTTCGACCTCTTGCTTAAGTTCAAAGACAAACTGAGTATTGGAAGCAGACGCGAGAAGCGAGATGTGCTCTACTCGCTTCTGCAGTCTGTGAACGGAGATGGACTAAAGTACCTGGGTTGGTGGTGTAAGTTATCCGACATCGTCGTTCACGCGCATCACGTATGACTGACAAGTTGCAGCTCATGAAACCCCATTGCCATACGAAGAGGAAACCTGGGCTGGAAATCCCACGCAGAGAGATTTGGTGCGTAGCCTTCGCGATCTTGGCGTTGTCAGCTTGCTAACATGCTTGAAGGCTCTCAAGCGCGACGGCTTCAGATGCGTTCTGACCCTCAAGCAGATCTACCAAGTTTGTCGCATTGTCCCTGCCTGGAGCCTCTCCCGGCGACTCGAAATCCAGGAGAAGGTTCTGAGACCCCTTCGAGCCATCTTGGGCGACGACGTTCACGACAAACTGTGCGCTTTGTTGGAACCTGGCGCACACGATCTCCTTGACTCGCCTGCCAAACATGATCACGATGAGCCCTTCCTTGCGCAAGATGTGGAGCGAAGGCAAATTCGGTCTTGAACCCCTACGCTACGTGGACAAATGGGTCGTGATGAGGCCGGACGAAGAAACCAACTTGGAAAGAGCCGCAGGCAGCAGCAAGGACACCAAGAATACCAAGGAGACGAAGGACACCGAGGATACCAAGGATACCAAGGACGCCAGGCACGCGGGAAAATTGAAGCAAATCTACGGACTGGAAACTGGCTTCCATTGGCTGAAGAAAACCAACCTGGGAGGTATCAATGACAGCCCTGACGCAACAGACGCCGACCCTCGCGAAATGTGGGAAGCGCAAGATCACGATGAGGAGTTCTTCGCCGATAATGGCACCGCTCTTGACGATGGCCAGATTGTTACAATCTGGGCCGAAGACAAAAGTCTACTTCCCAATTGGGACCTACTCGCTATCCAGTGGCGAGCTTCCCGTCTTCATAGACTTTGGGGAGGCGCTGATCTTCATCTATACGCCCCTCAAGAGGAGCAGGACGAGGATGCAGGTGGACGGCGACAAATGGATTGAGGACGACGATGACGAGAGACGACGGTGACGAGAGACGACGGTGACGAGAGACGACGGTGAGGATGACGGTGACGAGAGATGACGGTGAAGAGAGACGATGGTAACTAGAGACGACGATACCTAATCGATGAGAGACGACGATACCCAATAGATAGCAAAACCGATAGGCACGACGCAAGTCCAAATGAAAAGTATTAGAAAAAACCATGGGATTTTGTCTTGATCCGAAAATCACAGGCCAGGACATACCCGGCGGAGAGAATGACAGAGGAAACATAGCCGCGCAGTACAGGAGGAATCCAGGCGATCTCGTTGGATATTTGGGTGGTCGTGCTCAGCGGATATTATCCGTGGCTTGCGGCTAACATCAAGCGATGGGCATGCTAATAACAGATAGAGTCGGACATTAATAGACGGTGAAGAGGCGGAACACATGCTAGCTCCATGTCTCTGGTTGTTGCATCTTTTTTTTTTTCTCTCCCCTTTCTTGGAAGTACATGGGAGCAAGGGAGCTACCAGCTAGCTACACAAACACAGACACACCACCACACCGCCAGGGCCCCAACGGACGACCCCGCGCTACCCTTATGAAGAAAAGGAGGGTTTGCTCCAACCGCTTTGCGGCCCGTGCCCGTCGGTGCCTGCTTTGGTGGTGCTGACCTAATAAAGGCGGAGTAGTGTACCCAAGTGAGGGGCTACTCCTTCCACTTGCACTGGATTGGGGACCTGATTCACAGAGGTGATGGAGTAGTGGGAGGAAGGCGGTGCACCTGCCACCTGAAAAATTGCCGGCCGACCCCTCCTCTCCAGTAGTGGACTCGTGGTGTCCCCTCCTTGTTGCGCGCGCTGTCCATAGTAAACAAGTGGAAACAAGCCAACTTTGCTGGCCTGTGAGAGAGTTGGTTGTGGCACCTCGTTGGCTCCACCTGCGCGTCTAAACGGTTAACCACCCCGCCAAAAAAGACGATTGCCCGAGAGAAACATCACCAGAGACGACGGCACCACGCACACACACAACCGTTGCCCATAAACATACTACCAACGCATACGCACACTCATCCGCACCACGCATACCCAACCCACTTTCTACCCGACCGCTTCCTTCGTTAGGTTGAGGCACCCACCCAGTCCTGTCCATCCTGCCTAGGTGGTTCCGGGCCGACTTTCCTTGCGCACTATCCGTGGACCTGTGCCGGTGCAAGGTAGTTAATTGGTTTCGTTTCGTTTTGTTTTTTGGGTTGCTTTGCTCTCTCCTCCTGCGGCAACACCCACCAACACGATAGACACCACACCGAGTGGCGCATAAGGGCACCCCAACAAGCGGGACGCATACCGATTCGGGTCGAGAGCAAACACGCGACCGACCGGACACATATCCCAGACCTTCACACATCGACACGACAGATAGGCCTGCGTGAGTGTCGCCTTCCGACAAAACACCCCAGCCCACCATGGAGGATCAGCTGGTTTCGCTGCTGGCGAACACCCAGAGCTCCGATCAGGGTCCCCGCCAGCAGGCCGAGATAGAGCTCAAGCATGCGCGCGCGAACCCGGCTTTCCCTACCTCCCTGGCCAACATCGCCAACCACGCCTCCATCGACACCGCCATCCGCCAGGCCGCCCTCAGCACCCTCCGCCTCTTCATCGAGAGGAACTGGAGCCCCGAAGACAGAGACGCCTCCGAGCCCCTCGTCGACATCTCCGACGCCGCGCGCGACCAGCTGCGCAACACCCTGCTGGAGATTGCCCTGAGCAATGAGGACAAGAGACTCGTCAAGATTGCGGCAAGGTATGGCTGTTGCGGTATCTACAAAGAGTCACAGTCCCTCTGCGCGGCGGTCTCGTCATGAAATTGCGCGCGCGGAAACATAGCACCACACACAAACGCACACACAAAAGGCACAAGTCACTGACATTGTTCCAACGTCTAGCTATGCTATTGGCAAGATCGCGTCAGCCGACTTCCCCGAACGATGGCCTCAACTCCTGCCCACCGTCCTGGGCGTCATCCCCACGAGCACCGACGTCCAGCTCCACGGCGCCCTCCGCGTTCTTGGCGACATTATTGATGAGAGCCTGAGCGAGGACCAATTCTTCACCATGGCCCGTGATATTGTCAAGGCCGTCACCGAGGTTGCCCTGAACGAGGGCCGGAAACCCAACCTCCGCGCTCTCGCCATCTCTGTCTTCCGCTCGTGCTTCGACCTCATGGATATCGTCAAGGAGGACCACATGAAGGAAGTCAAGTCCTTTGCCGAGGAGGCCCTCAAGGAATGGTATCCCTTCTTCGCCCAGGTCCTCAAGACCCGTCTGCCCGAAGCCCCGGCCGAGCTCGCTAGCGGCCAGCCCGAAAGCTGGAACCACATCATTGCCATGAAGCTGCAGGTTGTCAAGACCCTTCTCAAGGTCAAGTCTGTCTTCCCTCACCTATTGCTGCCGCACAGCACCAGCCTGTTCACAGCCGTGTGGGAGGAGCTCTCTCTGCTGCAGAAGCCCCACGAAGACCTCTATATTGGACATGAGGCCCAGGGTCGTCTCGAAGACTCCGACAGCCTGCCATACACCCTCGATTTCTTGATCTTGGAGGAGCTTGACTTCCTCAACCAGTGCTTCCGCGCGCCTCCGGTCCAGGCCGAGCTCGAGGCTCAGCTGGCCGCCCACCCATCTGCGCAAGAGACCCCCTGGATGGTCGAGGTCATGAAGATGGTTGTCGGATACTCTCGCATCAGCCGTGAAGAGGAGGAGCTATGGGATATCGACTGCTCCTTGTACCTGGCCGAGGAGACGTCCGTCACTGCTAACTACACGGCCCGTACGGCGTCCGGCGACCTTCTCATCAAGCTTGGCGAGTGGTACAGCGAGAAGGCAGTGGAGGGACTCTTCGGTTACACAAAGACTCTGTTCCCTGGCGATGGTTCCCAGTGGAGGAGTCAAGAAGCTTCTCTGTACCTGTTCAACATGCTGATGAGCGATTTCCAAGATATGGAGAAGCCCATTCCGGATGCTGTTTCCGAGGCGTATCTTGGCCTGGTTGACTTCGCCGTGAACCAATCCGAGCAACCCCTGCTGAGAGCTCGTGGTTATCTCGTTGGAGGCACCCTTGCCCGCGGATTCGCGACGCCCCCTGCCCTCCTCGACCGCATCATCCAATGCATCACTTCTGAGGAGTCCGAGGTCGTCCAGGTTGCGTGCATCAAGGCTGTGGAGGGCTTCGTTAGATCCGGCCGAGTCGGCGGAGACCGTCAGGTTCCAATCATCAACGCCATTGCTCAGTACATGCAGAACAAGGACCCTGAGGAGATGGAGGACGCAGATGAGCTGCTCGTCACCCTTGCTGAGTCTCTGCGCTCCGCCATCAACATCGATACCCGAATCGCCCTGTCTCAAGACGTTCCCTCTGTTGACCTCCTCTTCATGGTTGCGAAGCTCGGCGCCTCCAATTTCCAGGCCACCATGCTTATCTGCGAAGCCTTTGAGGAGATTGTCCGCACTCTCTCTGACACCACCTCATACACCGCTCTGTGCGCGAAGATTCTCCCCACGTTGACGGCGGCTTTTAACACGGCCAACGTAACTCAGGATGATCCTCTCGTGACCGTTGCCACTGAGCTGCTTACTGCGCTCGTTGAGCACGGCTCTGAGCCCCTCCCCGCCGGCTTTGTAGCCGCCACTCTCCCCAAACTCAACCGCCTCCTGATGGAGTCCAACGAGGGAGAGGTCCTCCGCCCTGGTGCCGAGTCTGTCAAGTACCTTCTCATGCACGACCACCACCAAGTGTTTGGCTGGCACGATGAGAGCGGCCGCTCCGGTCTGGAGGTCTGCCTTCACATCATCGACCGTCTGCTTGGACCTTCCATCGAGGACAACTCCGCCTCCGAGGTCGGAGGTCTCGCGGCAGAGCTCGTCGAGAAGGCCGGACAGGAGCGTCTTGGTCCCTTCCTGCCTCAGCTTCTCCAGGCTGTCGCCACGAGACTGGCTTCCGCCGAGGCTGCTCCCTTCATCCAGTCCCTGATCCTCGTCTTTGCGCGTTTGTCTCTTGTTGGTGCCCACGACGTTGTCGAGTTCCTCAGCCAGATTCAGATTCACGGCAACACTGGCCTCCAGGTTGTACTGAGCAAATGGCTTGAGAACTCTGTCAGCTTCGCCGGCTACGATGAAATTCGCCAGAAGTAAGTTGACTGAGACTTCTCTGATGTGCAAAACTGACTTGGGTAGCGTTATCGCATTGTCGAAGCTTTACTCTCTTAATGATCCCCGCCTTGCCCAGACTATGGTTAAGGGCGACATGATTATCAACCAGAGTGACGGTAGAATTATGACGCGCTCGCGCGCCAAGGCTAGTAAGTACTGCAGAACCGCAACGCTTAACCAGAGGTACTGACGTCCAAGACCCGGACCAATACACCGTCATCCCTGCCTCCCTCAAGATCCTCAAGGTCCTCATTGAGGAGCTTCTCTCCGCATCAGGCGCCAACGCTGCTGCCAACGCCGCTGCCGTTGCCGCTGCGGCCGAGTTTGCTGACGAAGAGAACGACGACGACGGTTGGGAGGACGAGCCCGAGACACTCGACCTTAGCCTGGGCGGTGTTAAGAACGACCTCATGTCCTACATTGAGGGCTCAGGCGCCCGCCAGCGCGACGACGAAACGCAAGCCTACCTCACCGAATTCTTCATGCGCGCCGCGCGGGAAAACGTGGCCAACTTCCAGGAGTGGTATGGTATGCTGACCGAGGAGGAGCGTGGCAAACTCAACGAACTCGCCAACGCCGCCGGTCAGTAGGAAGACGCTGCGGATGGGTGGAGTGGTGAGGACAGGTCGGCGTTGCTGTCGATGGTGAATCCGCTTCAGCCGCAGTTGCCATTGGCTGGCGCTAGAATGCGGAATCTGCGTAAACAGCACTGTTAATGTGTCTCGTATGCATGCCTCCTGTCTGTGGCCGAAGAGCTGAGGCACTCGGGACTAGGGGGTCCTTTTTTTTTTGGAGAAGCAGTATAGGGGTTATATATAGTTCCCCGTTCATGGCTTCCAAATTGGCGACGAGGCGTTAGTAGTAGTAGTAGTAGTAGTCGTAGGGGACGCGGAGCAAACTGATAAAAAGGGGCGATGCAATTGGGACGACGCAACGAAACGGAATGGAATTGTAGATAGATCACACACACACAACACCCCCCTTTTAGAAGAACTGCAGCGGCTGTCTGGCTCCCCACCTGGGTTTAGACCAATGATGACATGGTCATATCCCGTTGGTGGACGCCGCGGCTTTGGCGGCGTGCGAACGAATGATGGCTCACTCTCGAACATTTGGTTTTTGTCTGATGAGGCGTCAATAATGTTAGATTAAATTTACGTTGCGAATGACAGTGTTGATGTGATGAGTTGAGTGCTTTGAATATCCGTGGATGGTGGACAGTAGAGTTGGTGTCGATGGCCAGATGATGTACGTTGCTTTGCTACCTCAACATGCAATCAGTTGCAAGTTCTCATGCTCGGCCTCTGAGGCCGCATCATCCGCGGCCGTCATGTCTGGTGGAATATTCTTCGTGCCTATTCAGATTTGCCTCGCATGCTCAAGGCTTCGTGTCAAACGCCCACGGCATGGAGACCACGAAATAGCGAGACTCGAGTCATCGCGGTAGGTTTTCTTTCTCCACCTTTCTGTCGAAACCGACGCGGGCATGTTGATAATTGCTGGTAACATCAACTATGGTGGAAGGCCGTTTTTGTATCACCTCCTCCTCCTCCAGCAGAGAGGGTTTAATAGAAGGTGACGTTTCGTGGTTGTGCCTTTCCGACAAGAACTTCATGTACCCCATGAAACTGAACGGTGTCGTATAAAAGACGTAAGGTGGGCAGTAAGAAGAGAAATCTCCGCAATGAGGGCGTCCGTAATTCCGTGAATAGATTGTTTTCCGACGGCCAGCTGCCAAGTGTCGTTTCCCGAGATAACGCATAGCAAGAGAAGGGTTTCTGATAACCGACAGTGAAGGCTAGGGTGGGACACCGGTCGTTCATTCGTCATTGACCAGGGCCTTCCTGTGTTTATTTGACGAAATGATCATGGCCGGAGTTGCTCCCTGGTAAACGAGTCTGTTGCTGGTCCACATCGAGGTCGCAACACGCCTTATGTGGAGATGTCTGGTTGGTGCCTGGAGCCGACACTTGCAACCCCAGCACTGTCATTGTAAGTTGCTTGGCACTTTAGGCAGAAACCTCGTTGTTGTAAAAGAATTTGAGTCCTGTTAATAAGAGGTCCCCCATGGGCATCGCGCAACGTCGCAAACCAATTTCTTGACACTTTCTCCAAATCATACCACGATGGCATCGGAAGACGAGTTGCAAAAAGACGCCACGTATCTAGCTGGCCGAGCCGCATTCTACTAGGCTTGTGAGGCCGGCAATCTGGAGGGCCTGAAGATATTGCTTACCGAGCGGCCATACCTTAACATCAGCGCTCTTCACGAGTACACTTGGGCTGAATGGAAGACTCCTCTGCAAATTGCCGTCAGCGCGGGCCATCTTGACATTGTCGGCTTTCTCCTCGCTCTCCGGGTCGATTTGGCAACGAGATGTTCACAACAAATGGAATCATACACCGCCCTCCACTACGCGGCGTTGAGATCGTCGCCGGAGATGGTGTGCCTTTTGATCGATGCTGGGGCCGACGCGCATGCGAAATTTCGCAATTACCAAGACTGGGATGCGCCTGCCTTGCTTCTCCCTCTAGAGTCTGTCTACCCCCGCTACGGCATTGGTCAAGTCAAGCAGGAGCATTACGACACACTTACAATCTTCCTCGAGCTCGGGCACGACATTAACACCCCCGGTGACAGTGATGTTCCTGGACAGGGCGCTCTGGTCACAAGTCGATAATTAGCTCACTGGAGAGATGAAACTTGGCTGATCGACCCTTCTTAGATCGAGCGCGCTGTCGAGTGCAACAGCCGAGATTTGGTCAAGTGGCTTGTCGACCGCGGCGCGACCACAACAAACCGCCTGGTGGGGCTGTCCAAAGCATACAGCTGGTCGAAGGATCATCTTCATGAGCGCGTAGCAGCGGCGAGGGGCTTAACGGGCGAGGACTGCGGGGGCGATCGCACTTTCAGGTACCTGGTCGAGGAGCTGGGATTACGGGAAGAGGAAGAAGAATGATTCTTTCATCTGCTAGAGTAACATGGCAAGACTGCTTACCCTGGCCAACCTCAGGGATTGCTTTTCTGTAATAAAAGCAGTTATTTTGAAGTAAGCATCTGGCGAGGCTTTGCACCTGAACGAGAGGACCAAATGCAAACAGACGATGGTGGAGACAGTCTTCATAGCTTTCGCATGGCGCAAATCTTCGCAAATCCCAAAAAAGACAGGCTAAGCGCCAATAATCCTAGTCTTGAACTTCAATCATGGTATAAATACGTCCGTCGCAAGTGGACTGGAAATGTTGCATGAAGCACGGCGAATGATTTCCTCTGTTGGTAATCTACTCACCAGGGTTGGAACAACGAAACCTCAGACCATCGTTTATTTTCTAAAATATGATTTTTACTATGTCTAACTGGATCCTTTCCATGTAAGCCGTGGCAGATATGCATACCTCACTACATGCGTCGTATACGACAAGGAACGCAGATGCTGAAGGACGATGACGATACAGCATCAGTCAACTCTACTAGCACTTTGAACCTTCATGCTTTTCGGCAGTACGTTGCGTTTCAGGGTTGCGTGATGTGATTTTCCTTTTGACCACATGCGGAGCCTGCAGAGGAATTGCCGATGCCCTCAGGTGAAAACGAGACTTGTGCATGCTAATTTAAACAGTAGAATGCCTATATCTGAGGTTGGAGTATTTCTGACTCACCCGGTCATCCGTCAGCATAAATTGCCTCAAGATCTCCAAAGACGGCTTTGTTCCAGTTGAATGGTTCCAACATCGTGTTCTTTTGGTCTCTCCCCAGTTGGCCCAAACCAATGCCAAGACCTGAGCGAGGTGCGTATGGCATTTTGTCTTCGATCACATTGAGTAGCGGCTCCGACTTTCTCTTTTTTGCACTCATTCACTTGAGAATACGCAAGAAAGAGGTTCATATTAATAAGAGGCCTAACAATGCGTCGTACTACGGGAGCGTGAGCAGTATCTCATCAGTCCCAAAAGGAGAAGAAGTTATATTCTTTCACTCCTCCCTCCAAACTTCCACAGTCAGCGTACAAGGTTTTACAAGTGTTGGCACGATGTATGACCGACACGGGGTGAAACAGACGCTTCTACAATGTTTTGGCACGATCAACGTCCCCAGCTGTAGTAACCACAGAGTGGATAACTTGATACAAACCAGAGACATGTATGTGGACTGCTTCCCTCAAATCGTCAGGTCTTCCCACTCTCCCTTCAAAAACATGGCTGTCTTGACCCCTACTCATTTGTTGGATCTGGCTAGGTTTAGTTCTAGCTATGTCCCATCGCGGAGATGAGATGACATATTATTAAGTAGAGGACGGATCTGGTCACTTCCATCGTCTATGTAGTATTCATATGTTGTGAGGAATTGAATCAGCTGATAGGTCTGAGCCGGCACATGTCGTCGTAACTTAGTACCCGCAGCAAGAAGCTTTGTAATTACCTCAAGTTCGAATCCGTTCGAATTCAATGCCGAAGAGCGCCGCAGTTGCAGTTAGATACAGGTGTAGGAAATATCTTTCTGATCAAATACTTCATCACTGGCACAGCACATTGAGACTACGAGCAGATGACGCAGCTTAGGGATATTATCCCATAAATCGCATGACCCTTGTTCCATAGCTTTGCTGACCGACACAATTCGAGATTTTCAAAGAGACGAATTATTATTACCATCCTACACTGTTATCCCACTGATGAAAGAGGGCACTGAATACTCAAGGCAGGAACACAGGCCGTGCTGGTGTAAGAGGGTCCCACCGCAGGGACTAACCCCACTTTCTGGCGGCGCAGACCTCGCTGAAGACATCCAAAATTCCCTAGACAAGCCATTGATTTTGGGATCATTCGAAACATCCTTTGATCTTGGTTTTCACTCCCTCCTTAGACCACTGATGTCGTCCCAATCGGCCGTACATTCGCAACTTGGCAGAGGTCGTTAGCCCATGGCGCACGGGCCTGTGCCACCCCCCCACATCGCCCCTCGCGGCACGGGCATCTCACTCTCACTCACCCGAGGCAGTCAAAAGTATCAGATCACCACCAAAACCAATTGCACAAAAACATCAACACAGCATCAACACAACATCAACAAATAACAGAAAGGATTGCGAGGTGACACTCGCGTAATAATGACAAGAGTGGGATTCGAACCCACGCCAATTACTTGACTAGCACCTGAAGCTAGCGCCTTAGACCGCTCGGCCATCTTGCCTTGTTGGTGACAATTGGGCTCAAATTCTACATTATGAAGCGTGTGAGTGGGGCTTGGGCGGGGTTTGGTCAGTCGGGGATTGCCAATGGGTGATCAAGGTGCGTGATTGGCTCATTTGGCTTGAAATCGGGCGCCGAGTTGGCAGTTTCGTCGCTTGTGCATGAGCTTGTGAGTTTGAGTCAAGAGATAGTCAAAAGTGGTTTATCAGCGTAAGTCTGGAAACGCCTTTGACTCTCAAAGGCTTCGGCAGACCCACAACCGACGTACCGGAGCAGACTCCGCTTTCCGGTGCTGCGGTTCGGTAAAGCTTTTCTCTCCGAGCGGACGCTTTATTCAGCCAAACGACTGATGCCATTAAACACGCATGCAACAATTCATCTTGTCGTAGCGTTTCTATTGTTTTCTTCTTCAACGTCCTTGCCCTATTGTCATCTAGATTTACTATCCGCCTGGCTAGCCAAAAGTCTCGGCCCGAACAGCCAAACTCTTTTGGCATGAGAACTGGCATCAACCACGTGGGAATCGGCCAAAACCCAACATCGCCGAATCGCGTTACTTGTCAGCCACTTGAAGAATAGGAATTATGAGATCCTACTCCCTTGATTGATGTCTTAATTGAAACCCACTCGGTCGCATTTGCAATTGGCCAAGTGAGATATGACAAGTCTCACAATCGTCATCCGGGCTTCCAATATCCAACCGTTAGTGATCTTTCACTGATTCATCCTCGACAGCTGAAGCTCGTATCATTCCGATTGAAGCCGCCCCATCAGCCCCGTCCCGTTGGAGCTAGCCAGGGGTATTCTCCCAGCTCCTTGGCATTTGTTTAACATATCGAGAACGTACCTGCACCAATACCACGAGTGAATTTCAACAAAGGCCTGAGAGGCATCCCTTGACTGTTTCGAAATAATTCATGCAGCCGAATTGTCTCTGGTCTGGTTAAGGCCCGATTGAACATGTATGTACGCGGATTTGAGATGCGACCTCAATTGAACACACACTTTAGAATGTTGCTCGATTTCAAAGTCAAGTCTGACTCAAATACAACGCCGTTACCAAGGGAGTGAGATGATACGCAAATTGAAGAAAGTCTGTAGAGCTGCCACTGCCAACACGTTTTGCGCATTCCCAAGCATCCTCAGCATCATTTCGAACGCGAATGTCCTGTCTTGAGGCATCCTCAGAGACTTAAATTAGTGGCGCGCGGTTTCAGTATGGCTTTAGCACAAATACCAAGACATCACAAACCGTCGGCATGCGGCGATGTAAGATCTGCATGGGCAAAGAATTTCCATTGAATCAGCGGCTATAGTCGACACCACATGCGATTCCTTTCGCCTTCCCCACCAACATATATGGAAGAGTTCCCAGCGTTGTAATGCAGTCTACTGACATTGGCTTGTCCCATGTTGCCTGTATTCGCCTTCCTTCTGCAAACGGCGGCCTGATTGCGCGATGGGTAATTGTCTATCCGACTTTTCGTCCTCCCCGAACGCGTGGAGTGGATGTGGAGCGGTCGTAGATGGACTCGCGAATCTGGATCTCCTAGCAACTTCGTCGTCCAACACGCCAGCCTTTTGCCAGACGACGTGTGCGAACAACAACCGGCGGTTTTCTCTAGTCATCGACAACTTCTGCTACTGCTCAAAACTAAATTCGCCCGATCCCGTCTTCATCAATCCCCGCCACCGAGAAATTTCCCAAGCCAGGACCCTTGCACTCGGCCTTGCCCAGGCACGCAGACATACGGTAATGGGTTTTGCGCCCCGACCGCAACAGCATCATGCGGAGGAATTGTTAGCGGCACAACGCTCTTCTCAGTCTACGGGCCTTCCTTAATATCAACTTATACTCCGTCAACGACATCGACGAGCTCGCTCATATCTACAACCTTATCTAGCTCATCAAGCTCCTCGTATCCGACGTCGACAAGCTCTACTGTCCCTTCAAGTACCATAGTGTCTCCGACAAGTAGCAGCACAATGACCTCGACAATTACATCTTCTACGTCGGAGATTTCGTCATCAACATCTGTGACTTTGACGAGTACCACGATCGTTAGTTCGGACTCCACAAGCACTGAATTAGCAAGCACATTCACAACTTCATCAACATCCACAATCACGAGCATCTCCACGTCTTCAAACTCTAACCCGGCAACGTCGATGATCACTTCAAGCAGCGTGAATACCATCTCGAATTCACTTCAGACGACCAGTCAGGGTGGCACGTCAAGCTTTACTGGCATTTCAAGCTCTACTGGTACGTCGAGCTCTGCTGGCACTTCCAGTGCCTCCAGCAATGCCGCGAGCAGCTTTTCGAGCAGCACATCAAGCAGTGCCCAAGGGGTTAGCAGCTTGGATACCATCACCGGCAGTTCACCCGCAACCAGCTTGAGCGGCATCCCTGCTACGACCAACAGCCCGGTTTTTAGTTCAATGACTGGTCCACGCTTCACCAACACCACCTCCAGCACGAGCGGCACGACTTTCACGCCAGTCAGCAGCATCACGAGTGGCTCAGTCGGAGAATCCAGCACGGCAACAAGTCAAATCACGAGATCATCAGCTCAGACACCTCCCACGCTGTCCAGTCTCACCACATCCTCGCAATCTTCCACCATCCCAGCTACGAGCGCAGGGAGCTCGAGGTCCGCTTCCTCCACGACAAGGATAAGCAGCACCACCGCACCACCGCCTGCCACCACTATTCCCATCATGACCACGACCACTGATGCCACGCAAGCCATCCCTCCGATGCTTTTATCGGATTTCCTGATTGTTATCATTGGAGGCCCATTGCAGAGTCAGCAGGCTCAGACTATTTCTTGAAAGAGTAACGTTTGTCGGCAAAATATGGCAGGGTATTCAGCCTAGATTATGTCAGACCACGCCTTCATAAACAGGTAAAGCAGTTCACCCAATGCTTGTATCACATTTAATCTACGTAATGGCAGCATCTAGTGTAGGGTGAAATGTTGTACCAGGTTATGAAGACCTGGCTTCATACCAGTCAATGAATTTGGCCTCATGCTAGGTATTGCGTTGCCGCTAGTCCGGTTTCTTAGAAGAGTATGATCTATGTGACAGGTCTGAAAAGGGCGGAAGAACATGTTGGTCTCATTTAGCGTGCGCCTGCATCTTCATGTCCTACGTAATTATATTCTTTGCCGGCAAATAGTGACTCAATCTTATATGAATATGCACTACGAGACCATGTACTGCCTTGTTCTCGATCAAGACCACTCGCAAACCGGCCAACGGTCACCAAGAGCTTGAGCATTTGAAACGACGACCAGATATGGCCATGTAGGTAAGTAGAGCACGAGACGAAGAAGTTTTGAAGTGTATGTCAGATATGCCAGACACCACTGTTCTTCCCTCTGTCGTAAATGAAGCAATCTAACTTAGAAGCAGCGCCAAGACCAAAGCAACACAACAGCTGACAGAGCCAATTCTCTTGACTCGGGGTTGACAGCGATGAGTCTTTCGCGAATTCGGATTGCGTTGCTTCCACGGAGCGCCCGAGGGCTTGACTTGACTCCACAAGTGCTCCGGAGACAGAAACCGGCCGTCAAGCTGGGCAGACTCTGGACAAAGTACAGACCGGAGACGGCAGGCCCGAAGGCTCACTATGCGCCACCGACTGCCGACAGCACCGCGGCGCCAGTCCGGGATGCCCGCCCGGTGCGGGGTGGGCGCAAAAAAACAAGCTTTAGGCCTCATCCCACCGCGGCAGCCCATCCCTGAAGCCGCTCCACCAAAGGGGCCTTGTTCATCTCGGCACTTCGGCATGCTTATCAGCTAATTCATCCAGTAACGCGGTCCAATTCAGCTTCTGACCTGCCTAATCCGTAGCTAATCACCATGCGTTAACTTTGGAGCAGCACTCTACGCACTGTCGATACGAATTGATCATTTGCCCATTGTATATGAGCAGCAATACAATGTGAACAACGACATGCCTCCTTGGGCTAGATCTGTCCACTCTTTATAAATGCCCATGGTGTCATTTGGGAGGGCTGCGTTTGCGAGCGATTCGCCGGCGGTCCGATCGTGGGGTGCGATGCCTCGATATATAGTTGGTTCCATGACATGCAAGGCACATTTCTTGGCCCTCCTTGGCTCTTGCTTGGCAGCTCCTTCGTTCCCTTGAGCCTCACGCGTGTCTCGAACGGTATTCCGGGTCTTGAAATATGCGCTCGTCAAGCATCGTCACCGGCGTCTTCGCCGCCCTGCCCCTCGTCTCGGCCTGGGTCTCACCCCACGCCCACCGACAGCGTCTCGCGAACCGTCAGGCCGCAGCGCCGAAGCAGGTGGAGGAGCGGGGACCGCTGCGCCGGAGTGATTTGCAGTACTACAATAACAAAACCAGTGGTAAGTGGACGCTCAGCATCCATTTTTCAAGTCTCATTCTCACTAAATGTGCTTTCCGTTGCAGGCTTCTATGTTGACGGAACCTCGATCCCTGAGGTGAACTTCAACGTTGGCGAAAGCTATGCCGGCCTGATTCCCGTCGACGCGACAAAGCCGGAAGCCGAGCAGCAGAAGAACTTTTTCTGGTTCTTCCCGACTGAAAACCCCGCCGGCAAGGACGATGTCATTATCTGGTTCAATGGCGGCCCGGGATGCTCATCCATGGAGGGTTAGTCTAATGCGTTATAAATACCAGGAATTCACATCGCTTACAACCATCAGGATTCCTGCAAGAGAACGGCCCGTTCCTCTGGCAGTACGGAACCATCAGGCCCGTCCCCAACGCTTGGTCATGGCACAAGCTTGCCAACGTGATCTGGTACGCCCTCCGCCCTCCTCTCCTGAGGTCTCGCAAGCTAACAGTCACAGGGTCGAGTACCCCATCGGCACCGGCTTCAGCTCCGGCAACGTCACGGCCACGAACAACGCCGAGACCGCCGACCAGTTCGCCTCCTTCTGGAAGAACTTCGTCTCCACGTTCGACCTCCAGGGCAAGAACCTCTACATCGCCGGCGAGAGCTACGCCGGCATCTACGTGCCCTACGTCGGCGCCGCCATGCTCGACAAGAACGACACGGCCTACTACAACGTCAAGGGCGCCCTCTACTACGACCCCGTCATGCCCTACTCGGACGACCTCGGCTTCGACCACGCCGCGCTCCCCGCCTTCCACCGCTACTGGGAGAACGTCTTCGGCTTCTCCAAGAGCATGAAGGCCCAGCTCGACGCCGACAACGACAAGTGCGAGCTCGACGCCTACCTCGCCAAGCACCTCGCCTACCCGCCGCCGCCGACCCCCTGGGAGAGCGTCAAGTGGGACCCCGACTATGATGTGGTGAACCACTTTGACAACTACATCAACGCCATCAACCCCTGCTTCAACGGCTACCACGTCCTCGACACCTGCCCCGTGCTGTGGGACGTCCTCGGCTTCCCGTCCGTCATGTACTCCCCGCCCAACACGACGCTGTACTTCAACATCCCCGAGGTCCGCAAGGCCATCCACGTGCCAGTCGACTACCCCTCCTGGAGCGAGTGCCAGGACCCCGTCTTCGTCGGCGGCGAGGACAACTACAACGGCACCGAGCACGAGGCCAAGTTCCAGACGCTCGTCGAGCGCACCAACAACGTGCACGTCGGCTCCGGCCAGGCCGATTATGTGATCCAGCCCAACGTCACGGCGCTCGGCATCCAGCGCATCCGGTGGAACGGCAAGCAGGGCTTCGAGACGCAGCCGGCGGACGAGCTGCTGCTGCCGGATGTGGATAACACCGACGACAACGTGATCAGTTGGGCCGGCGGCAACGTGCAGGGCGTGGTGCACACGGAGCGCGGGTTCACGCACTCGACGGCCAAGCTGAGCGGGCACATGGTCCCGCAGTACAACCCGGGCGTCGCGCTGAGGCATGCCGAGTTTATGTTGGGAAGGGTCAAGTCGATGACCAAGGGCGACCCGTGGACGATCAAGATTTCGACCAACTTTGAGTATCCCTATTAATGTATTGAGAATGTAGGTTCGTGGCTGCATGTAGACATGATTTACCTTCAATGTAGATGTTTATTGAGTAATTATAACCGCAAGGATCCGTCATCAGGGTTCACGGGATAATATCACAACGGGCGATGAGACTTCGAGACTGAACATCACAAGAAACGAACAAGACACAAAAAGGTATGCGAACGATTCTATTTCGCATCGAGACCAAGTAGACTTGCAACAAGGCCCATGAGGCGGCGCGTCGCCGCACTGCTCTATGTAACCAGATCCACACCCATGCCACACATCGCGTTCAAGTCGTCCCCCCAAACTTTTACAAAGTCACTGGTCTCATTCATCCCTGAACATGACAAAACGTGTGCTTGAAAAATCCGCCCGCCCCTGCCCCTTTTTTGTATGTAAGCCCTTCGACTCCAAGTCACCGAGTCCAAACGCCGAAGAACAAGAGGTTGGGAACACTCCTTTCAAGCATGGAACGCAAGGCCGCACCTACATGCTGCCGCTCCCCCGTTTGCAAATGCAGATGCAAGAACTTTCGTTTCTGTCGCTTATTGCTTGAGGATGGCCTTGCCCTTGGCCTTGGCGGCGGCGAGAGCGCCGGAGAGGCCAAACTGGGAGGCGAAGCCGTCGATACGGTGGACGGCGTTGAGGTTCTTGACGGCGACCATCTGGAAGCAGGTGGCGGAGCCCTGGCGCGAGGCGATGACGGACCAGGCGAGGAAGAGCTCCCAGATGCGGTACCAGCGCTGGCCGTACTTGGCGGTGATGGCGTTGGCGTTGCCGAGCCAGTTACGGTACCAGCGCCAGAGAGTGCCGGAGTAGTGGACACCGACGGTGTCGACGCTCTTGATCTCCCAGCCGGCCTTCTCGAGGCAAGAGATGTAGTACCAGAGAGGGGTGGAAGCGTCGGCGCCGGGGAAGATGTACTTGTTGAGGAAGGTGCCCCAAATAAGGTCCTCGTACTGCCAGGGTCTGCGGAGGCCGGAGAGCTGAACGTACATGGCACCGTCGTCCTCGAGCATGTCGTAACACTGGCGGAAGAAACCGGTGAGGCGCTTGATGCCGACGTGCTCGCCCATCTCGAGCTGGGTGATCTTGTTGAACTTCTTCTTGGGGATATCGCGGTAGTCGGAGACGAGCAGCTGGGACTGGGTCTCGGGGATGCCGGCGCGGCGGAGGGCGTCGTTGCCCCAGGCGGCCTGGTTGCGGGCGAGGGTGGCTCCGGTGACGTGGGCGCCGTAGTTGACGGAGGCGAAGCGGGCGAGGGTTCCCCAGCCGCAGCCGATGTCGAGCATGGACTCGCCCTCCTTGAGGTCGATCTTCTCGCAGACGATGGCCATCTTGTTGTCCTGCATCTCCTCGAGGGTCTCCTCGCGGGTGATGTCGGAGAAGACGCCCGAGGTGTAGATCATGCGGGGGCCGAGGAACCAGGCGTAGTGGTCGTTGCCGGAGTCGTAGGTGGGGCGGACCTGCTCCTCGTCCTGCTCGCGGGAGTGGAAGGCGACGTCGCGGAAGAAGGTGAAGAGGATGAACTTGAGGACGGCCCAGGTGAACTGGAAGGTGCACCAGTCGTGGCGGTACTCCATGATCTCTAGGCAGTCGCCGTTGAACTCGACGTCGCCGTCAAAGTACATTTCGTAGAAGGTCTTGATGGGGATCTTGTTGCGTCCGCTCCATCGCTGCTTGTCGGCCTCCTTCTTGAAGGTGATGTAGTGCTCGACGGGGCGGCCGGGCAGCTTGGCCTTGTCGTTGATGCGCGGGGAGTAGGTGGAGGCGATGGTCCAGACGACGATCAGGGCCGGGAAGAAGCAGAGCAGGAGGAAGAAGGTGTAGGTCTTCCAGCCGCCGCCAACGGAGCGGGTGAGCCACCAAGGCACGCCGAAGACGAGAGCTCCGAGCACCCAGTTCGAGAAGGACTCGTGGCCGGGGCCCTCAGCAGGAAGTGGCGCATTGTAGATGGCGGGGTACTGTGAGAGGATGGTGGTTAGCGGGAGGTTATTCAGATGAAGCCAATTGAGCTCAATTGGATGCGTGCGACCACACATCTCTCTCCTCTCTTGGATCGAAAAAAAAAAGGGAGGGAAAAAAAAAAACTCACGTCTGTGGTCTTGACGCCGCAGTCCTCGGTGGTGCTGAACTTGGCGGGTGGTTGGGGAGGGGTCTTGATGAAGGTGATGTCGCCCTCGAGCTGGTCGCCCTTGAGCTTCTCGGACGCCATGGTGAAGTATCCGTAGGTTGGACTCGTGAGAAACGGGCAGTGTTTCTTCACGATGCGGCTCTCAGCAGAGGGAAGGGGGTGTGGTGGTGGTTTTGAAGGTGAAGCTCTGTGGCTGGCCGGCCGTGTGGACAGATTTAAGCTGGGAGCTCATTCCGTCATTCTAGACGCGCCCGCGCCGGGGGGGTCTCTCGGGCCCAGGTGGCTTCAGTGTTTCCGGGCCTCTGTCTGTCTGGCCCTGGGGGCTGCTACCCTGCTGGTGTCCCAGGCTCACCGTCCCAACCTGTGCTCCTGGAATTGTCTGAGCAGCGAGTCCAGCCAATCTAAGCGGCTTGCGCGTCGTGCGTCGCCCGTTTGTACCCACTCCAGTGAACTGGGAGTGGGCACCACCACGCAGGGGTCACTGAAAAAACAGGTCTCAACGGCACCTGAGTGGCTGCCAGCCCCAGGGGCCCCGACAACACCCCACCAACAGACCGTCCTCGCCAAGTCAGTTGAGGCCACGAAGTGTGTAAAAAGTCTTCACCGCCCACCTCCCCCAGGTCCTGTACCCTGTGGCTTGCCCCTATTGTTTGTAGCGATAAAGGACGGTAAGGGCCTTGCTCGCTGCTATTTGGACAGGGCCTCTCAATTCGCTAATTGTGATTGGACATTGAGAATTCCATTGGCCAATTTGCCGTTTCTACAGAGATACCGAGGACCCTTAAAGATAGTAAAAGGGGTGCTTCAAAAACAGATAGAGATCATCGCCAAAAGGAGCTTCTTCGTTCAGCCGCCTCCCAGCATTTATTGAGACGAGACGAGAAGAGAACCTCGCAAGGTCGATGCAGGTAACAATAAACAACAACCCACAAAACCATTGCTTTTCTCGTGTTCGGGTCTATCGGGTTGGGTGCTGCTGCCCACCACCAGCCGGTAACACCTCATCACCTGAGATACCGTTTTATCAGATGCATTAGCCTGAGCGGTTTCGCAGAGCCAGACATGTGTTTTGGAAAAGACCCCAGCACCAGCTCCGGTCCGGCCACCCCCAGATAGTGGGTTTCTTCCGACAGCGGGTCCTTGACGGCCCCGCCAGCTCCCCGCACCGGCTTTCGGCTCCGAGATTGGAGCACCTGTTACCACTAGGCCTTCTGCTCCTTCAACCCCATGCGGTCAATGGGAGATCCTTTGATCGCGCTGTAGTGGTGGAGTCCAAACATTGACTCCTCCGAGATCTCAATCTCCCCTTTGCCTCGCTGGTACACCTCCGCATCGTACTCGTCGATCGCCGCCGCAAGAGTCTGCCGGCCCTGTTGGACCGCCGCGATGGCCTTGACCAGGTTTCCGGCGTCCTGCAGTGCATTATTCAGGCCCGGGCCACGAACTGGAGGCTCTCACAGTTAGACCTAGTAAAGTTGCCCTCGGGCTTGAGGTTCGCACTCACAGGGACACATGGGATGCGCGGCGTCGCCGGCAACCGTGACGCGCCCGCCAAAGTTGTTCCATGGTGCAATTCTCTTCCACTCTGCGTACTATATCCAGTTAGTGACTTCAGTGAGATGCTGATAAGATTGTCAAGCAAAATACCTTGTCACGTGGAATGTATGTGTCGTCCGGCACCCACAGCGCGGCAGAACGGTACGGCTCGCAGTATGGCTCCGCGAGCTTCTTTAAATACTTCATCCTGTCCTCGTTTGTCTCGGGAGGGTCTTCGGTGCTCCAAAGAGATAGCGCGACCTGGAACTCCCAGGTTTCCGGGTCCTCGGGATCAGGAACATCGGCCACTGTAATAAGTCAGCTCAAGCACACATCATCCAGGAGATAGAACCCACCAGCGAGAAAGAAACAGAGTGTCTTGGTCCGGATGAATAGCCATCTAGAATTTTGTTGGTTTTGTGGCTATTACAACGGCAACTCTCGCAGCTTACATTGGCAATCGGGTGAATCTTGCTCCTGAGGAATCGAGCTTACTGCGCCGTGTACCGACACCCAATGTTCTGTCTTAACGTTAGTAACTTCGACACATTTCTCATACTTCTCATCACACACCGTAGAAATCAACGGGACCCGATCCAGCTCCTTGGCATCGCCATCCACGAGGTGATCTCTCACAACACTCTTCGCTACCACACGTCAGCCAACCAACATTCCCCCAATCCAGCCAAACGCAACTCACCACCATCCGCCCCAACAAACACATCCACACGCACCACCTCGCCATTCTCAAAAGTAGCCGTGACCCTCTCTCCACTCGCATCGACCCCAGCCAGCTTATACCCAAACCTCACATCGATCCCCCGCCGGAATAGATCCCTCAGCTTCCTGCGCACGACCCGTCTGCCGTCGTCCACCTTCGCCGCAACCAGCACCTCGCCCGTCTTGCCGCCCACGACCGGCAGGCTCTGGGCCTCGTCGTGCGAGGGCTCGTGCCAGGGGTTCGTGTGCGCGCTGCTCAGAGCGGCGAAGAGCTCGGGCGGGAGGCACTGCTCGACGTTGCGGCGGGACCAGTGCAGGGCCATCGTCCACGTTCGCGGGTTGTCCTCGTAGGTTTGTCTGGGGAGGGTCTCGAAGACGGAGACTCGGACGTTGGCCTGCGCGGGTTAGCATCTTGTGTGTGTGTGTGTGTGTGTGTGTGTGTGTGTGTGTGTGTGTTCGTGGCCGTGTGTGGAGATGGACGGGCAACCTTTTTCAGTCCTTGGGCGAGGAGGAGGCCGGTGGCGCCTGGGCATTGTTAGGACGTGGGTTGTTTCGGGACGGTAGGCACGATATTGGCGTACCTGCTCCGATTACTGCAACATGGAGATTCGGAGAAGACATGGTGGTTTGTAGAATGATGATGATAATGTCGGTACGAGAATTATATCCTGAGTGAGTTCAAGTTGACTACGATGACAGCCTCATCATTCATATTCACACCGATCATCATTTATATTTGCTCACAGGCCATTCTTGACTTGAAGTGATGTTGATGATCCGTTCATGATGGTATCCCGGAAGGCCGGGAGTAAGTTCGACTCGCGCTTTCGCGGTTACAAGAAGAGCGACGTTATCCCGTCGGCTGAAGTCATTCATTCAACTGCAAATGGCTTGGCTGCGTTGTCACCACGACTAAATCCCACTTTTTTGGAGACGCTCATGTTAAACGACTTCGCTCTCCTGAACTAGGGCTGGACGGACCGGTCTCTCGATAGTGACCGAGGCCGAACAATGTCGTTGAGTCGGCCGACATAGTCGAGACAAGCCATTTTCAGTACAGCGATTATATACTATTGGCGATTATGTATGTGATTAGACAATCATTTGATTAGAAAGTGTCTTTGTGTCCCTGGCTAAGAGACATATGCCAACTCCAAAACACCGTATTCTGTACCTGCAATAACCCATGTTCCATTTGCTTCCCCCGCATGCACTGTGGTTCTTTTCCATATTATCTTACATCCACATCAAGTTCCGGCTCTGCCTCCTGTTCTGCTGCCACAACGGCCTCTCTTCCGTAATATCAGCGCCGCCAGCGTTCGCGTTCGGGGCCGCGCCAAACTCGGTCGCGGTGGCACCCGTCGCCGTGCTATTACCTCCAGCACTCCCCTGGCGGACCTCATCTCCCTCCGGGCGGGAGATGGCCTCGTGGTAGCCGCGCAGAAACTCCGTCATTTCATTCTGGTGCGTCAGCGGGATCTCATCCTCTCCCCCGTTGCCGGAACGAACCGCTCCAGATGCAACGGCGCCGCCAGCACCCCCACTCTTCACGGAGCCCCCGCTGTGGGCGGCGTTGCCTCCCGTGATGGACGTGGTGGTCCCGTGCGCGCCGGGCATCATGGACGGGTGCCCGTAGCCGGCCTGGTCGAACATGGTGTCCTGACCCGGAACCTGGGTGAAATCCTTCTGGTTCGTCATGGGGCTGGGAATGTGGGTTAGCATTTCCGATCGGATGATATGATGGGGATGGGGATGTGGGAACGTGGGGGGATGAGGCGAGATGGGATAGTATACCTGATATATGAAGGCCCCTTGCCCTGGCCGGGGCCCACACGCTGGTTCCTGCCCTTACGCTTGCCCATCCAGAAAGCAACAGACACAATTGCGACGAAGATGGCGGCTCCGGCGACGGTTCCGCCGATGATTCCGCCGTTGCGCGCGAGGGCGGCGTCCTGCTGTGCCTGCGTCGGCGGCGAGTGAGGACCGCCGCTTGCCGCAGGGTGCGAAGAAGTGGAGCTGGGCGCCTGCGAGGTTGGCGAGGAGCTGGAGCTGGAGCTGCTGGTGGTCGTGGAGGAGCTCGTCGTCGAAGAGTCAGACCTCGACGCGGAAGAGCTGCCTGAGCTGGAGCTGGACGCGGTACTGGCGGCCGCGGTGACGATGCCGGAGACGTGGGTGATGACCACAGTCGTGCTCAGCCCCGAGGCGGTGGCCGCGACGTAGAAGCCCTGGGTGCTCGTGCCGCATCCGTACTGGTAGGCCCCGCCGTCGTAGGTGTTCTTGTAGCACACGTTGGAGCCCTGGCAGGTGTAGACGTACGGGTCGTACGCCGACGGGGTGGGACTGTTCTGGTCGACGCAGCTGGTGTAGACGCCCGTCGTGCAGGCGACTCCGTTCGGGCAGCAGCCGACGGCCGAGACGGAGGCGTCCATGGCGCAGTGCGAGCCAGCCGAGCATGTTGCCGCGAAGCCCGGGTCGCCGCCGATGTAACCGCAGACGGTGTTGGTGCTGGAGTCTTGTCTCCTTCCAAGCCATGGCATCGGCGTCTGCAGAGGCCAGTCTACGACATCGAGTACACGGAAGGGGAGGTGCTGCGTTTTTTGCGGGAGCACGGCGACGGCGTCGGCGGTGGTGAGGAGATTCGAGAGCAGCACGAGAGCTGCCGCGGCGGGCGGGAGCCGGAAGACGTCGCGAGATACCATGGTGTTTCGGTGATTTGGGTGATCTTCGCACAGTGGTTTCCAAATCCTTTCAAAGCCCTTTCTTCCTTTTGCCAGCAACAAGATCCTTGTCGATGATGGCGTTCCCCAAGTCGGTTGTAAGACTCAAGATGGCAGTCAAGCGCTTGAGTCCGGCGGAATCCGTGTAATCAAAATCCAGTTACAAAGAGACAACCAAGAGACCCAAAGAAAGAGACGTGGGATTCTGGGAGGAATAGACGCGGGGCCCTGGTGGAAGAATAGGCAGAAGGAAAAGAACGAAGAAGAGAGAAAAAAGGAATCCTGCCTCGAGGGATCGGAGGACGAGGTGCAATTTAGATCGGAGCAGGGACGACGTGGAGGAGGAGGAGGAAGGGAGGGGGTGGTTGTGGTCCCGGGGGGTGGCCGCCAACAGGGCTGATGTTCATTGAGGAGCAGGCGGGTTTCAGGGATTTCTCTCCCATCATCAGCATTGCGCCTTTTCGGTTTGGGGGAGGGGCAGCTTGGCTGTCCAAGTCTAAGACAGACGTGATGACCACGCCTTACCGTCGTATCACGGTTGCAGGCTGCGCGCACCGCTTGGGGCGTGGGCCGGGGGTGGGAAGATCTCTTGATCGTTGGAAACGTTGTGCCGTGGCGAGGACAGAACGCGCCGGCCGGGACCAGTCCGTGCGGATCTGAGAACCCGGAAATAGGCGCAGACAGAGTACGAGCCTGTCAAGTGCCGAGCAGGCGAGGGCTTGGGCAGACGGAGAGATAGAGAGAGATGGAGGCGTTCTGAATCAGACAGGCGGGTAGAAAACTGTTTCTTGCTCTTCTTGGGCCCATCGTCTGATCGAACTGATACCGGCTTCGACTTCGACTGGCTTGACCGTAATGCTGAGCACACGATGTTGGCTGGGGTTGCAGGCATTCGAGAAAGGTGTTGTTGGTTCCTGGACGAGAACACGACCCTTCTGCTTCTGTGCCATGGCTCTCTCGTCCTCATGTTGCGCTTGCATATTCTGATGCAGGCAATGGACGACGGAGGACCCCAAAGCCAGGGAAGCTGCATTTCTCCCATGTCGGATATTGCCCATCGTCCAAGACGACCTGGAAATGGGCCCCCAAACGCATGCCACGCATCTTGGGGCCGCTACGTTTGTCTTGGGTTCTCGGGTTTTGGGGGGTTCAGCACGACGAATATGCCAGTTTGACAAGTCTGGTGGCTCGGGCCCGAACGGTCAGGTCAGGTTAGGTCAGGTCGGGCAGGCAGGCACCGTCAAGGGGCGCAGACAGACACAACTGAATAGACTGAACAGACGTGCGGCTGGTGAGCTGTTTAACTCGTTCGATGGTGGGATATTGAAGGAGTCGGGACCCAACGCTTCTGAACGGGGACTGGAGTTTGAAGGAAGTGAGTTTGCATCGAACCGGCAGGGGCTGTTCGTCTCGCTTGTTTATGCTGCCACCCCACCGCGCCGGCGTCGAATCCTTCAGGTGCTTGTTTCTGGAGATATTCACACTGTAAATGCTATATTAGATGTATGCACAAACACAGTGTAGCAGTGTCCGGCGATGCTCCGTTAGCGCCAACCGGGCTTCTTTTTTTAATCCGCGCTAATTCCCGGTCCCGAGTGGGCCCCGTGGCGGTGCTGTCAACTAAGGCACTCACTTCCCAGGCACTCTCAGGGTCCCGACAACTTGCAGCTTTAGGCATTTAAGAATCCCAGGATCGTCATCCTCCACGTCTTTAATGATGAACATTTCCGAATCTCTTGGACCTGTTTCTTCTTGATGAATCTCCGATATGATGCTATTCAGTCTGCCGGCCCCAACCAACTATACGAGTCAACCGCCCTTGGAAACAAACGCCTGTGCTGAATGAAGCGTGTCTATCACCCAGTCCCGTAAACATTACTGCAAGTGTCTAACCCTCGGACGTGTCACAAGCCCGTCACCACTTTCCCAAACGCCCTAGCTATGCAATCACTCAACATCATCATCTCCCAACAGTCCCCGCTTCCCATCACCGCCGCCCGGCCTGACTTAAACGTGCTCCCTCCGCGGCGAGCTAGGCCGCTCGTCTGTGTCGTACGGTCTGTCTGTCAGCGGGCTCCTCTCCTCCATGCCATATGTTTGCCCTTCAGTGACCAGCTTGCCAGCCTTTCTCTGCTTCTTCTCCGCCCTCGCTGCCTTCTTGGTTTCCTTCTTCTCCCGCTTCATCTGCTTCTTCTCTTTCCTCGACAGCCTCGAGAACTCGCTGTTCTCGCCCCTCAGCACGATACCCGGGTGCACGGCGTTGAGGAGCACGAGCGCGAGCACCATGGGCAGTGCGTCGAGTCCGAACGCGTAGTTCTCGTTGGTGAGGATGGGGTTCTCAATGTCGGCCCCAGGTCCGAACTCAGCCAGTCGAAAGATGATCCGGATCTCCGGGAAGTGTCAGCTCAGTCCGTTCATCCCATCTTGTCAAACGTCGTCTCACCCTGAAAGTTTGCCTCCTGAAGGGTGGACGGACGTTCGAGGAGCAGAAAGCAGGAAAGTCACAAGAGAAACAAAAAACCACACTTACAATCACGAGCACCAGCACCACGTAGATGACCCAGATGAGGGCCTTCACCCGTTTCAAGTCGAGGTCGAACCTTTGCGCCTGTTGCATCTTCACGTAGAACCGGCCCATCAGCCCGCAGAAGACGACGATGAAGGCGAGCTGTAGCCCGCACCCGCTCATGTAGAGTTGCTGGCCGGTGCGCAGGATGGGGTCGTCCGAGGAGACCTCCGTGTTGGACATCATGGAGCCGCCCACAGCCTGCACGAGGAAGCACACAATGTCCATGACCACGAAGATCTTGGTGAGCGCGGTGGCCTTGACGCGGAAAACTCTCTGGTCAGGCAGGACAAAGTACACGAGCCTGGCTGCCAGCATGTACGCGAACGCGTTGATCC